GAGATAACTAAATACATTTCTGTGAACTAAGAGATGAAGAAAAGACGCTGGCGTCGGATAGGACAAAAACCTAAGAACAATATAACTAAAATGTCTTTGCAGTGGAACCCACAGGGGTTTAGAAACAAAGGCAGACCAAAAGAACACCTAGAAAGATAGCAGTAAAATATTTGGAGGACACAGGATGAGCTGCATACGATAGCAAAGGATAGATTGACTTAGCCTGAGTTGGTTGAGAACCTTTGCTCCATTGGGGGATAAAGGGCAGACCAAAAGAATGCCTAGAAAGATAAAAGTAAAATATATGGAGAACACAGGATGAGCTTCAAAGGATAGATTGACTTAATCTGAGTTGGTTGATAACCTTTGCTCCATTGGGGAATAAAGGGCATACCCAACACACACAAAAACTGAAGGATATAAATGATTAAATATGTGCAATAATGGAGCTGTGAAACATGTCAGCCAGGAATTTTCACTGACAGTTACAGGTCAGGTCTCAGTACAGTGAGGCAAACTGTAAGTCAATAGTTGGAGATAAGCCTTTGTTATGTTCCTGCTGTGACTAATTATGATTAGGAATAGTAATTGTCTCCAGCTTGTATAAAAAATTATATAAAGCAAGGCTGACAAAGGGGACATCATAACTGGCTCCTCATAGAAACAATCAATGAGTAATTCAGGAAAATAGAGAACAGCTGGATCCAAAAGCAGTGGTTCGAGCCTCTAAAGCGGTTGGGGCTGACACATATCAGTTTCATATTTGTGGCTGGGTCGTAACCGATAAGCGCATGAAGCGTTCCTTGGAACTCAAAGAATTAATGGCTTGATAATTTATCCATTACTATACCAAAAAGCACAATTATTTGATAAATGGCACTTAAGTTCACCAGAATACTTTAAGATTTTGTCACAGTAGGTATAGTAATCTATTTTTAAATGTTTATTTTCTGGGTGCAAAGAGTAAATGAAATTGAGGACTTATGTGTGTCTGTCTTCTTCTCTATTTGTCTTTTTTCTCTCTCCTGTCACAATCTCTCTCTCTCTTTCTCTCTCTCTCTCTCTCTCTCTCTCTCTCTCTCTCTATCTCTCTCTCTCTCTCTCTCTCTCTCTCTCTCTCTCTCTCTCTCTCTCTCTCTCTCTCTCTCTCTCTGGAAGGGGGGAGTGTGCGCCTGTGGCTTTCTAAATATAGACACACCTATTATTTGGATTTTCTGTGTGTGTTCTGTCCAGCATCAGCCTTTGTGTGTGTGTGTGTGTGTGTGTAAGTTCACCCCATTGATTTTCTGGAATTAGGATCATGCTCTCAAAGAGCTCCACATTGGTGATTCTTGTCAACCATTTTAGTCCTATTCTATGCAAGCATCACTTCATCAATATTTTAAAATCTGATTCATTTACGAGAGACATATATGGGAGTCGCCCTGGTGTAGCAGCTAGACGTTAGCCTGCAGATTGGAAGGTCGTGGGGGGTCGAGTCCTGGCCGAGCCAGGCTTTCTGCAAAGATGACCTTGACTACTCTGTTGACCCAGACTTGAGTGTGTACCGGGTGCATCCTGGGAAGTAAAAGTGGCCGGCGGGATGTTAACCACGTCACCCACCAAGTGCCGACTGGTCATTCAAATATAGGTCTAGCCCAATATGCCTTAAGACATGGAAAAGGGTCCTTTACTTTTACTTTACTATATATATTAGATGTATGGAGTGGAATCAATAAGATATGTTGGTAATAATTTAACTGTGTTTCGGTATTGAAAATAGATATTGAATAGACTAATGCACTATCAGATTGTGACTTTACTACAATATCTTCTCCAGAAAATGGAACCTAGGTTTGTTAAAACTCACAGTACAGATGTGCAGGGAGGAGTTACCATCATCAAAGGTAAGGGGATATTCATATACTAAACTAGGAATAATAAATGCCACTATGCCCCAAAGCTTTTTCTCTATGAAAAAAAAACTAAGCATGTAGTCACCATAAAATGAAGAAAAAGTTGCCAGTACTCACCACACATTCTTCTTCTTCTTCTTTGCGTTCACCAGCTGTACACTCTGGCGGAAAGTTCTGGTTGCTCGTCCACTACTGAACTGCAGTCCTGCTCCAGAACCTGAGTGTTGCATGTGCATCAGTTTTACAGATCTCATTCTCTTGAATACAGACTGTTGGTTCCTTGCCTCTCCGGCAGATGCACTCCGTCTTCAAAAGAAGCTCCCCAATTAGTCGACTCTTACGACATGCTTTTGGGGAGGCAGTGGGTCTATTCTTGTTTTCCCCACAATGGGGCCCCGGAACCCACACGGGGGTCACCACACATTGTCTGGTACATTGGCTCTGAAAGAAAACAATGATGACTAAAAAAAAATAGGGGGGGGGGGGGGGGGGGGGGGGGGGGGGGGGGGGGGGGGGGGGGGGGGGGTAATACTAGTAGTCCCAAAAATAAAAGCCCAAATATGTCTTATTGCATTTAAGATATTACATAGTTTATCATTTGTATCCAGAAATAACTTATAACTAAACACAACACAAACTGCGATCAGAAATCTGAACTGAAGGGAAGGAAAAGACTCACACAAATATAACTGAATATCCAACCAGTCTTTATTATGTTAGGTTTAATATGGACCCATGACTTTTCATCTACTTATGGTAGAATGGGGTTTATGTGGGCAAATAGATGTCTACGGGGTTAAGGGAATAAAGGGACAAGCAAAGAAAAAATACATAGTCGTTACGGTTACGGCATCACAGCAAACGAGCTTGGCCCATAATTGCTCAACTGCCTTTGCCAGTGATTCCAGTCACAAATTGAGTCAGATACGCTGGATACTTCAAATGAAGGCCGTAGCCATACAAAGTGTCCTCAGTCAGCAACACACAAATGATTTGATTTGGCAAACCATAAAATGCATACCTCCTTAAACACACAGCGAGATCAGGTGTCATCACTGAAAATCAACTTAATTCAACGAATAGCTGGGCGATGAGTAGATTAAAACTATTCCTGACCATTCTCTATGTGTCCCGGCCAAGTTGCAGCCACAGCCAGCAAATAAATAGCAGCTATAGCACACGCCTTGTCCCAGGAACACAATAAAGAAAAAAAAACATCACCCATCATTGCCATTATGTACGAATCTAGGACTTAGTCAATAACCGATAATCACAGCTCTTAGTGCTGCCAGAAGCACTAAACTCAGTAGCTCCGGCTGCAAACTTTCATTATCTTATAACATCAGAACTGGAGGAGAAACGGTGATGAGAACGGTCAATATAAGCCAAGTTCTCAACCATCATCCATTCTCTATCAATGTCGGAACCAGAAGTCCAAAAAAAAAAATATGTAGAAGGATACTAGAGCTTGAACTGGAGAAGACAAGGACTGAGCTGCAAGCAGTAGCAAAAAATAGTAAGATTTGCTAAGAATTAATTGAAAGCCTATGCTCCTTTGCTGTACAAAGGGCAGAAGAAGAAGAGATGGCTGATTAGGCCAGTCTTGGCACAGTGTTCATGGCCAGTATTGACAGGGTATTTGAGCTGTATAAGATTCAGTTGACAGGTTTTTCTGCATTTTTTTTTTTTTAAACTGCATCTGCGGTTCTGCTTGCCTTGCGAACCATTGCTGCCTGTTGCAAAAAATGAAACCCAAAAGTACTCTGTTCTACTTGTAACTCAAGCCTGAGTCTGAAGAATCTCAGCACAGTGCACGAGCTCCGTGGCAATGGTGACGATCCTGAAATACTTTGGGTTGATTTTTAACTCCAAATTTAGCCAGGGCAGCACAGTTGGGCTACTCTTTTTGTGATTTCCAACTGCCAAGGTATTGTTTACGTGCACAACAATACACACAGCATCCGGTCTTACTACCCAGAGACCAGGAGAAATTACTAAAATCCACGTGAAGAATCCCAGCCTTCACCGGGGCTTGAACTCGGGACCTCAAACACTCGAGGCAAATGCCATACCTCAAGATGAGCCCCCCCCCCCCCATCCCAATTATATGGGCTTTGTAGTGGTGACTAATTACTAACATAAGTATTTATGTGAGGAAAGTATAGCTACTACTTACTAAATACTTATAAAGCCTAGTTAAACGTTACTGATATCAGTATTTATGTGAGGAAAGTATAGCTACTACTTACTAAATACTTATAAAGCCTAGTTAAACGTTACTGATATCAGTATTTATGTGAGGAAAGTATAGCTACTACTTACTAAATACTTATAAAGCCTAGTTAAACGTTACTGATATCAGTATTTATGTGAGGAAAGTATAGCTACTACTTACTAAATACTTATAAAGCCTAGTTAAACGTTACTGATATCAGTATTTATGTGAGGAAAGTATAGCTACTACTTACAAAATACTTATAAAGCCTAGTTAAACGTTACTGATATCAGTATTTATGTGAGGGCAGTCTAGTTACTACCATATTTTTGTGAACAATTTCTTGTTACACAGTTGCTTCAGCTTGTACTGCAGTTCAGCATGCTAAGGCCTGCCATGGAGAGGTCACTAGCATTGTTTAACAGCAGATGCTGTTCCCAAAACCAGCAGCTAAGCTGCATGGTCCCTTAGTGACTAGCTAGTTGCCTATATATATATATATATATACACACACACACACACACATTTATATATAGTCTTGTTGCTTTCTTCTTCTTCTTCTTCTTCTTCTTCAGCATTCCAAGCTCTTAAGGCTCATTACTGCAGCTATTACCCACCATTCATCTCTCTGGTTGGCCTTCTCTTTTCAGTTTGTGACACCAAGTGTTTGTAGGTCTGTCTGGATATTATCCTTCCATTGTCTTCTTGATATACCTCGTGGTTTACAACCATTCAGCTCCCTTGTGTATACAGTTTTTACCTCGCTGTCATCTTACATTCAATATACCCCAGCCAATTCATCATGAAACAGATATCTAAGTCTTGTTACTAATTTAATTTTATTTATATGAAGAAATCTGACATCTATAATCTGTTGTTTTTCTTTTCAGCTGACAATTTGCTTAACCCTGAGGTTGGCTTTCTGAAGGATCAAGTGATCGACCGCAACTGTGATTGTTGTGAAGACTGGATGATCAGTTACCATAACATATTGAAGGCTCAGAACTACTTCTATGTCTTTGTCTCCGACTCCTTGTTTGATTTGTTTATTACCTTCTGCATCGTCATTAATACATTCTTTATGTCGCTGGAGCATCACAATCAACCGGAGAAATTGACTTTGATACTTTCAGTGGCAAACTATGTAAGAACATTTTTTTTTTTTTTACATTTTGGTAAATATTTATTGCCATTTGTATTTTTTTTCCCCCTGATTGTGTAGTTAATTGATTTTTTGTTTTGTTTGTTTAATTAAATGATATTCTAGAATGTCTAGGCTTTTTTAAGTGTTTATAAAGAAGCAAAAATAGGTACCTGATAACTTGCCAAGCATGTTGTAGAAGGCAACTGAGACTTGGCTACCTCATCCCTATTTGACATAGCAGCTTCTTTTCAGAAGCTGAAGATTTGCTTTTGTTTGTGTATCAGTTGTAGAATAATTAAAGGTCAGTTTGAATGTTGGAGATAAGACACTTCAAACACATATGATGATTAAATATAAAAGACAGTGTCTCTAGACACTTTTGCACTGATATAGAACAATAGGTGATACCTCACAGAGACATCTGTGAGTAGATGTGATAACATGCATGCTTTAAAGCTCAAGTGCCAAGGTCAGCACATGGGTTTAAAACTATGCTTGTTGAAACAACACCCGGAAAAATTACAATGGGAAAACAATAAATATGCACGGGCATTGCAGTGCTAAAACAACAGAACAAGAAATCAGGGCTAAAGAAAATTATGTCAAGAAAGATCAAACAAATAAAAAGTTGTGCAAAGTGAGATAAGAGAGCATATGTTGACAGACTAGGCAAAGGAAGGGAACAGGCAGCTAAGCGTGGAAGTGGTAAATTACAATATAATTCATTAATACTAAATTAACTAGTACTTTCAGACTGTGGTGTGGTCACATTAACAGTACGGATTGTAGAGTGCTTACCTCTTATATTGAGCAGAAGAAAAAATAAGCAGGTTTTCGACCTAGCAGCTGCTTATATCAAATAATTACCCACCACTTATTTTAGAGGAATTTGATGAAAAATGACAATCCTTTGTATTGAATTTCATCAACTCCAAAAGGGCTTTTGATGGCTTTCACAGAACAGTACTATCAAGAATTTAGGAATGGTATAGTATGCCAATGAAACAAATATTATTAAAGCAGTTTATGAGAATGCAGAGTGTGCTGTGCAACAGTCAATGGTTGAAGTGCTTGATTGATTTGATTGAACACAGACCTCCCGAATTCATCTCATACTGATGTGAATGGGTACCAGAAGGTATTCTATAAATTTAGAGGCCTCATCACTCATTGTTTGCAGACTCGTCTGAAATTATTGGTTTAACACAATAACCAGATCACTTGGTAACAGGTGCATAACTTTTAGGTGTGAGTACTTTAGTGATGTTACAGATTTTAACAGTGGCGTCCGTGGCTAAGGCGTTGAGAGTCCGACTCGTAATCCAACGTACCACGATCGAAACCGACTGCGGGCTGCGTGGATTTTTATCATGGTATGGGACGTCGCTGGTTGACCCAGCCTCAAATGGGTACCAGGATGGCTGTCCTGGGGAAGTAAAGACGGCCGGCGTAAGGCTAACCATATTACCCACTGAGTGCCGATTGGTCTGTAAAAATATGGGTGCTCTTCCCATATGCCTGATGCGCCTTAGGCGTTAAAAGGGATCTTTACTTTACATCATTACAGATTTTAACAAATCTTTTCAAATTTTTTTTGTAGGTGTTCACAGCGATTTTTGTGGCAGAGGCCTGTAGTAAAATATTTGGTTTAGGGAAGTACTATTTCCTGAGCGGCTGGAACATTTTTGACCTGTTTACTGTGGTGGCTAGTATGTTAGATCTGGCCCTGGAGAATGCAAAGGGATTGAATGTGCTAAGAGCTTTCCGTTTGGTAAGTCAGTACAAAACACTGTCAGATGGTTATGTTTTAATTAATCTTATTTTCCAGGTCTGCCAATTGGTTAACGTTAGTTGAGACATCATCCTCAGTAAACATTAAACCATTTGTTTAAAAGGTTAAAGGTGAGAGGATCAAACTGATTGCACTAGTTTTTTTAAAATCCAATTTGGCTTGGTCTCTGTCTGTGTTAAAATTGCAGCCATGAACAGAAACAGAGCCACTATAAAGCAAACACAATGACCTTCAGAGCTAGAGCCAAACAACTTTGCCACGGGGGCACCCATTCAGTCCTTAGGTGCCCAGAACCCTATATCCCCCAGTATCCACTAGATCTGATCTGTTTTGTTTTATTAGTACTCTTTTCCTTCCACATTGGGCTGATGTTTTGCCTCGCCCATTTTCACTTGCTGCTCTTGCAGTCTGGTCATGATTGCAGATTCAGTTATCAATGGATTGGTGAAAAAATGAAAGTAAAGTGCTGAGATCCATTGACTGAGTCAGATACAGAAACTTAGAATAAAAATGATTGCAGTACCTGCTGGAGTCAGAAATCATATGCGTTCTCAATCCATGGTCTCCAGCATTTTCTATCAGTTCTTTTTCCTTTGTGACTGCATGTCAGTCCTCCAGGCGACTCAGAGGAAACCACGAAACAACACGGAGAGAGAACTGACCGGCCAGCTAAATAGACTCACAGGGAACAAGTCGTTTTCCTGTGGATCCCGGCTAACTGCGGCATACCAGGAAATGAGTTGGTAGAAAGACTTGCAAAAATGGAACAAACAAGAAACAACACACCCATTCATTGTTATTACCAGAAATCAGCACACTTATCAAGGGAAAATACAAGGAATTGTGGAGAGAACAAACCAACAGTAAACAACCACAAGACTCCATCAGCAGACTCAACAGAACACAGCAACAATTTCCCATCTACGAACAGGACACTGCAGGCTCAACTACCACATGCATAAAATAAAGATTGTACAGTCCCCACAGTAAGCCTGTCAAACAGGACCACAAACAACTGAGCACGTTCTGCATACCTGCCCACTCTACCTACAACTTTGAAAAGACACCTAGCCTCAAAAGCTAAGTGTGCAGAGCAAGCTATGGGAAACCATGAAGGACCTGCTACTGGTATGCAAGTTCATAGAGGCAGCCCACCTGATGGTCTGATCTGAGCATACAAAACCGAATGCAAAGAAGAAGAAGTATCAGTTCATTTCCTTCTGAACTCTTGCTTCTATCTCTCTATCAAGTCTGCCATCTTCTATAAATATGCTTCCCAGGTTTTTGAATTCTTTTACATGTTTGATTGTGTTACCACGAACATGAACATTCATGTTTTTATGTTTCCTGCCTGTTCTCATTACATTATTTTGAACTATTATTGTTATTAATCTGTTGTAATCTTTTCCTTGTAACCAAATTTCCTGAATTTATCTTCCTTCAAGCTTCGAGTTTTCAAACTGGCTCAGTCATGGCCAACAATGAGGCTACTATTGACTATTATTCTCAGCACGCTGGGGGCCCTTGGTAACTTGTGTCTTATTTTGGCCATTGTCATTTATATTTTTGCGGTGATTGGTATGCAGCTTTTCGAAGATGATTATGTAAAAGAAAAATTTATGAACAACATACCCAGGTGAGATTTATTTTATGAATATATTAACATTTTTGTGAATTTATTTTGGTTTTAAACACAGGGTGCCCCATAGGTTTCCATACATGGAAAAACTAAACATACCACCAGCACAATTACCAGCATAATATAACTCAAGCTGTTCTTATGTTTGTTCAACAGAGGAAACCAAACATTAAAATGTAGTTTACAAGGCATGGTAGTGATATAAAGCATATTAAATAAATAAAAAGGGTTTTCTTTAAAAATAAAGGGGGAGGGAGGGTCCCCCATGTATGAAACTTTATGGGACACCCTGATATTTGTTGACCTCTGTGGCTTAGGAGTGTTCAGGATTCAGCTGCAGGCAGTTTTGTAGTGTTCTTTCAACATTGGTAGGAGCATTGGACTGTTCAGAAAGCAATGGCGTACTGTTGAACATGAAACTTTCTGTTAAAACTACACACAGCCAATAAATGGTATGGCTGGTTTGGGAAGTCCTGAAAATAGATGTGCGACTAGCTTTAAATATTGTCTCATAATTGCTTATATCAGTTCACTTTTTCTGGAGCACAAGATATTGAACTATGGACAAGAGAGGTTGTGACCATCTATGAATGACTGCTAATTAAACACATCAGCAACCATCCTAATCCTATTGCCCCTAAAAGACTATGTCAAGTTACTTTTGGTTGTGACACATTTGCTCTAAATGCAGATGCATCAGCGTTTCTACAGTGACCTGATCTTGAAAAGCATAGTGAAATGCCATTGGTCCTTTCTGCACCTGTGCAGTGTTTAGAAGTCCCAGATATGGTTATATTAACTAAAAAATAGCATTTCAAGTCGTTCCTGGGAACTAAATGGCTTTTCTAAAACAAGTTGACATCAAAATTTTTTCTGAAAGTCTCCCTAACAGGTCACAGCATGAGTCATATACATACTTTTTTAGGAGCATGAGTCATCTATACTTTTTTAGAAGCGTGAGTCATGTGATACATACTTTTTTTAGGAGCTTGAGTCATATGATATAAACTTTTTTTTAGGAGCATGAGTCATATGATACATACTTTTTTTAGGAGCATGAGTCATATGATACATACTTTTTTTAGGAGCATGAGTCATATGGTACATACTTTTCTTGGGAGCATGAGTCATATGAAATATACTTTTTTAGAAGCATGAGTCATATGAAATATACTTTTTTAGGAGCATGAGTCATATGAAATATACTTTTTTAGGCCTTGGAAAAATGTATTCAGTTTATTTAATGTTTCACCACCTATGTCGATAGCGTAAGCAAAAATGTGAAGACCAGGAACTTCATCTCTAATGGAAAGTTCTAGTTGTTTGCCTACTTCTAGACTTTACAGTCTTGTTCCAGAACATGAGTTTTGTAGGCACGTCAGTTTTACAAATCTGGCTTATTTGTGTGCAGACTGTTGGCCCCAGAACCTACACAGTGAAAGATGGGGGGAAGATAATATTAACATTAATAAACATCGAACCATTCAGTCCATTAGTGCTGAGATCCCCTCTTCAATATGTGTAGTGGCTTATGATACCAGTTCTGTGTTGGTTTACTATTCTTCTTTGAGCCCTTTTGAAGCGCTCGTCTGGCTTCACCCCTTTTGATGTGATAATCGGGTAGTCTTGTCAGTGTTGCAGGTTTACAATCATTACTTAATTAATTCAAGCTGCCCTGTTCATAGCTCGTCCGTTTCCTACATGAGCATCACTTGCAAGTCTGTCAGCTCGTTCATTACCCTTTACACCAGAATCCCCAGAACAAATATGAAAATGATTTTTGTCAGCCTAGATCTATTCAGGGACTCCACTCATTGACTTTGTATGCAACCCTTCTTGATCTACCTGAGCATATTCATTGAGTCGGTGAGAAAGCATGCCCGGGTGAAAGTCTCTTTCTAGCCAGGCTATTGCTTTAGTTGCTCCCATGACCTCCACAGTCAAACTGCTAAACAAACAGTGTGTGAGAATAATCACCAAAAAACATAACCAAAAAAAAACAGAAGCATTAGGAATTTTAAAAAAAACTGAACATAAAGATGCAGAGTGCAAAAGCATTTAACTGGCATCAGAATTTAAACATCGAGGAACAACATTCACTGCCATAGAAATTATACGTAATTCAAAGGATTTTCAAGTTGGGCAGATTTTTTTTTCAAGTGACCAGATCAACCCAGCATAAAATAGATAATGCCATGGAAAATAAATCAGCCGGCATGATAAAGGCCACATGGCCTATTAAGCGCAAATTGCTCCATTAAAATATGCATGCAGCACTATGTACTAAAAGGACTAGTGGTGTAAAACAGGGTCTGTTTTGACAAGTTGATTACCATTACATTCCCTTTGTGGGTTTTAGGGCCCCATTGTATGGGCAAACAAATTTAAAAAAAAAAAAGTGATAACCAACTTTCCCCTAACAGACATGTTGTAAAAGTTTACAAGTTAGGGGTGCTCTCTTTGAAGTTGGAGTGCATTTGCCTACAAGGCAAGGAACCAACAGTCTGCATACAGGTAATCATGATTTGTAAAACAGATATGCATGCAAAACTCTTGAACAAGATTAAAGTCTAGGTGCGGATGAACAACCAGAACTTTCTGCCATAGTTCACCGTTGGTGAACACAAAGAAGAAGAGTACTTACATCCTCATCATCATGTAGCAGGTTCTTTGCAGAACATCTCTCTTATGATGACACGTGGGAAGGCTCTCACTCCACTGCCAGATTTCTACCTCATGAGGTCATTGATATCCTTATGCACCATCATGCTGATCACCCATTGCCTTTTCTTTCAGGAATCAGATCCCTCATAACTGTTCTCTGCAAACTAATAGGGGACTCACTTTGACCTAAGTATTTCACCTTGTGAGAAATGATACTGTTTATGAGCCAGTCCCCCTCTGTACAGTAAATCTGGAAAAATGACAGTATTTTTTTTTTGTCCCCACTTGTTGGTCCATGATGCTCTAAAACAAATCTTCCTGTAACATATCTTTTCAAAAGCACAAGTTTTCCTCTTTTCCGTCGCCCCCCCCCCCCCCCCCACCTCAAACTGCACATTTTATCATAAGAACTCTTTCTGTGTACATCAGAGTTACAATCACAAGAAAACAAATTACATCTGTCAGGCATAGGTTCCAGAATTTTGGGGCTCATAAACTTTGAGGCCCCCACTCCCAATAACATATTTCATATTTACACCTGTATATGCCAAACAGGTGTATAGTCTACCCAATGTCTGGGACAATAATGTTTAAGGAAAATATACATTTTGTTATAATTTCATGGAGAGACCAAAACCAAAACAGTAGCACACTAGCAGTGTAACATGGGAATTCCTCAGAATTGGGGTTCAAGCCAGTTTTGTTTTCTCTTATGGCACAAAATGACTTTGCGATTTCAGCAGTGGACAAGAGTGATGTAGTGACTTCCCAACAGCCACCAGGAGAAACTGTTTATGTTTTAAAGACATGTTCCGACGTTACAGAAGACACATAACCTCAGCATGGAGTCAATAGGAAATGCATTTGAAATTCTCGTTTACTTTGATAGGCTAGAACAGTGAACACAGCTGACACACACACACACACACACAAAACAGTGCACGTTCGAACTTGAGGAGAGCAGAAAAACCTGGCTGTACCATTATGACAGGTATCACTGCTGATGGACACAAGAACAAGATGTCATTTTTAATGTAAAACAACAAGCTGCCACTTTGAATATTGGTAACAGTGCAAGAGAAATGGTGAATGACTGAAGAATCGTTGTAATGTTTATCAGTTAATATTGTACAAGTGTCATGTAGTGCTAATATCTCGAATATAAACCGCACCCTGTTTTTCACAAGCGATTTTTGGTTAAAATGCATGTATAACTGCAGTTTTTGGAGCTTGAGCCCACACTCTAGAAAGTTGGTTGCGGGGGAGGGAGGCTGCTCAGCTAATAGTAATAAAAAAAAACTATTATTATTGCACAGTTAAACAAAGCTTAAGCCCAGTCAGTCCCAGGGAAAATCATAAAGGGGCAGAGCCACACATGTTTCCAAGATTACTTGGTGGTGGTGCACCCCCCATAGTACTGATATTATTAACTATATTATAATTTAAATAGTATAAAAACAAACAATACATTGCACAATTTATTGCCTGACATAGACATAAATTGTTTAGTGTATTGTTTGTGTTCACTTTATATACATTTAGAATGTGGAAAAACTGTTTTGTATATTGTTATTAACCAGGGGAACCACAGTCGTGTAGTGGCTAGACGCTTGCCTGCAAATCTGAAGGTAGTAGGTTCAGGTGCTTATGGATCCAGACTTTAAAACAAAATGTATCAGGTAAAGTCCTGGGAAGTAGAAGTTGCCGGCATGATGTTGACCACATCACCCACCGAGTGTCAATTGGTCTATAAACTATACGTCTAGCCCTATATGCCCAGTGCTTCTGAAGGCTTAGAAAAGGGTTGTTTACTGTTTTTTTTTTAAATTACATTTTTTTAATGTTAACTAGAGTTGTTTCAGTAATGTTTTTAGTATTCACTATAACTTTCCTACTGTTTTATTTTCAGGTGGAATTTTACTGACTTCTACCACTCAATGTTGATGATTTTTCGAGTCCTTTGTGGGGAATGGATTGAGCCATTGTATGATTGTATGCAAGTTACTAATGAACAATGCATGTTTGTCTTTCTGCCAGCTCTGGTCTTTGGCAATTTCATTGTAAGTGTTCTTTGGTTTTATTTCATTATTAAACAGAAAGTGTTTGCATTGACAGTGTAATCAGTAATGTAGAGAATACTAGAGAAAACTATTCAACAATTGCACTGCAGTAGCTTTTTGATGTTATGATCTAGTTATGTGACCTGTGTGTTCTGTGTATGGAAGAAGTATATATAAGAAGTAAGGTGACCACAGTCTTCTTCTTCTTCTTCACTTCCTCTTTTACCACTTCGGTTGTTGAGGCGGATATAAGTTTCTGCTTCTTGCTGTTCTGGCCACCTCGACCATAGACACATCTTGCTGTTGTAGAGTTTCTCTGATGTTATCTTTTCATCTTGTTTTTAGTCTACATCAAGCTCTTCATCCATCTGCTCTTTTGGTGTATGCCTTGTATGGTATGACATCATGGGGCATTTTCTCTAAGTGGGCAGACCATTTGATTTGTTGTCTTTGTATGTAATTTAGAATTGGCTTGGCGCTAACTTTTTATCCTATAACAATATTTTTTTAAATTTTTGTCTCTTCTGGTCAATCCTGCAGCCCTTCTTAGACATTTTATTTCTTTAGTTACTAATTCCCTTTTCTGATTTGTTGTGAGTGACCATGTCTTGCACTGGTAGCATAGGGTTGAAATGAATATGCTTAGTGTAAGATGACTGCACACATGAAAGTCTGAGTGGTCTTGAGGCATGGTGTCCGCTTCGAGTGTTGGAGGTCCTGGGTTCAGACCTCAGTAAAGGCTGGGATTTTTTCACGTGGACTTCTAGTAATTTCCCCTGGTCTTTGGATAGTAAGATTGGACACCCGTGTGTATTGTTGCACACGTAAAAAAATCCATTGGTGGTTGGAAATTGAAAATAGTAGCCTAACCACACTGACTGGGCGAACTTTTAAGTTAAAAATCTACCCAAAGTATTTCAGGATCCTTGCTGGTGCTACGGCGTTCCTGCATTGCGATGAGATTTGTTAGACTCAGGCCTGAGTTAGAAGTAGAACACAGCCTTTATGGGTTACTACCCTTGTGTCATGGTGTTGATCTGTTGTATAAACCAAACCGTATGAAAGTCTCTCTCTCTCACTCTCACTCTCACTCTCTCTCACTCTCACTCTCACTCTCACTCTCTCTCTCTCATTCTCACTCTCTCTCTCTCACTCTCACTCTCTCTCTCACTCTCTCTCTCACTCTCACTCTCACTCTCACTCACTCACACACACACTCTCACTCACACACACACACACACAATATTGGAAAAACATAACATAAATGTCAGCTTTACAGATTCACTTACAGTAGACAAACATTGAGATGACTGGTTTTCATTAGAGAAAAATGACAAGAAACAAGACACAATCCAAAAACTGAAATGACTGAGTCATTCTTTTCAATTAATACGTAAATATATGGAACAAAAATATAATAAAGGACAAAACTCTATAAGTTTATGATACTTACCTGGATCACTATGAATTTTAAAAGGGAAATTAATTAATCATATATGGTTCTTTAATTGGCCCCTAAAAAGTAAAAAAAATGGAGGAAGGGACCATATGTGCACATTTTTATGTATATGCATGTTTGAAGATTCTTAGGTGGACAGAAATATAAGTAGATAGTGTTGATAGACATATCTAGTTTAACACAAGTGTTGGGAGCATAAGTTTGATACAGTAATCCTTAGGGATAAGAAAGATAGAATAAATCAAGAAAACAATAATACTGAGTGGTGGAAGTCTTTCTAAAGGTGAAATCATACACCTGTTTAGATGGCAGCCCATGCAAAAACAGGAAACAGAAGGAATAGAAAGCAAAGAATTTACAAGTTAAGAGAAGCTCTCATGGCATTTAAAAATGTGTGGCTGTTAAAAGAAATTAGGCCTCATACCAGACTTTGAATATCCAGCTGTAACTTCAAATCTCTGTTGATTAGAAACATACAGAATGCCAAAAAATATCTACTAATAAACATCATTAACATGTAGCAGATCTTTTAAAGCATTCCCAACACAACTATTGTGCATCTCCCCTCTGATGATTGGCTGCAATGGATCTTAAAAAACTCTGAATCTTATCCTGATTGTTTGCTTTCTGGGTTTTCTATTCATTTAATCAGATGCCTCTGCACACTGATAATTGGCTGCAACAGATCTTCAGCTCTCTTTGAAACTTATCCTGCTTGTTTACTTGCTGCATTTTCTATTCATCTAATCAGATGCGTCTGCACACTGATGATTGGCTGCAACAGGTCTTTGAAACTCTCTGAAACTTATCCTGATTGTTTACTTTCTGTGTTTTCTATTCATCTAATCAGATGCGTCTGCAAAATGTAATTTTTTTTTTAGAAAGAGTTATTTCTTTTAATGTAGTTCAAAAATTTGGCAGAAGGCCACACCATATTTTGCCCTATCCTAGCAATCCCTGACTTTGTCCCGTTTACCACCTCTTGTGATGGGGACATGAGGTTGGACTTTGAGAGGCTGTCATTCATCACAAAATTTATTGTTATTATTATTGCACACTTAAACACGGTTAGAGCTCCTTGAAAGCCTCCACCCCTATAAAATAATAAGATGGTTTCTTTTGCCGTCTCTTCTTACAGGAGTCATGCCTTCCTTGACTTTTTACACAGAATGAAATAGAAGAAGTGGGAGATGCTGTATCATATTATCTATATGTTTGCCAGCTAGTCCAAGGATAGTTTTTTTTTTTTCTCAGGTCAACCCAGCCCAAAATGGCTACCAGGTAATGTCCTGGGAAGCAAAGGTGGCTTGCCTGATGTTGACCACATCACCAATTTAAGTACGGAAGTATGGAAAGTATGAGAAGTATGGTATTGAAGTAGTATAGTAAAAGTATGGAAGTATGAGTCTAGCATCATATATCTGATGTGCCAATGAGAGTCTTCTTCTTCTTCTTCTTCTTCTTCTTCTTCTTCTTCTTCTTCTTCTTCTTCTTCTTCTTCTTCTTCACTTTTACTTGCTGTAAGCAACAGTGGAAAATTCTGATTGTTTTTTATCTCTGGACTTTAGGTTTGTTCCGACACCATAATGTTGTTATGCACATTCGTTTTCATATCTGGCTTATTTGTGTGCAGACTGTTGGCTCCTTGTGTCTCAGGCAGATGCATTCTGATTTCTAAGGAAGCTTGTTGATGAAGCAGTGGGTCTGTTGTTGTTTTCCCTGCAAGAAGGCCCTGGAAGACACATGGAGAATGAAGAGTCTTATATTTACTTACTTAGTTAAGGTAAAAGAAGAGATGTAAAGCAAAAGGACAGAAACTGCAGTGAATTTCTTTACCTGTTAGAGAAAGAAAAAAAAAAAACACAGCTTTGCTGTTCAAATTATTATTGTTGTATTGTACTATGTAAATTTTGTCTTTCAGGTGCTGAACCTGTTTCTGGCATTGTTGCTAAACGCATTTGCCAGTGACTCAATAGACAAGCATAGAGAAAGTGGTGCAGAGAAATCAAAACTAATGGATGGGCTTTATCGGTTGAAACAACTAATATGCTGCTGCTTTCCCTGCTGTAGCAGCAACATGTCTCGCTTGCCCGATGATCCATCATCAGACACTCGGGAGGATTTAGGCATGGCACCAAATGTAGAAGGTTAAAACTTGTTATGTTTATCTTCATCTTCTCCTCCTCCATTGTGTTGTGGTTTACAGCTAGGCTGCAGTATCTGGTTTTAGGCCTAACACATCCAGTGTCAGCAAATATGTAATTAGCCACCTCTTGCAACAGGCTTATTATGTGGCAGTGGGGCTATTCTTTTGGAACTGGAACTGGATGTAGAAAACAAAAATTTCAAGTTTGGACCTCTTTTCCTGAGAAGGACTAGCAGAGTTTGCCTGGGGCGGCCTCGATCGGGAATGGAAGGGAGTGGATCTGGTTGGTGTTTAAACTTGCCTGGCTGGTCTAACTGGTAGGCTGGGCTTCTTCGAGTCAGTGGGCTGGCTTGTTTCCTGGTAACTGGGTGTCATGGCGGCTCCAGTTGGTCTTCCTGGCTGCTGGCTTTGTCATGTTAAAGAGAATGTCAAAATATGCGGTTCTTGTTTCCATCTTGCTTCCAGCATCTGTGTCTGGGCAGCTTGCAGCTGTTCATGGAGCCCATTTATTTTTGTGTAGAAGGCTTTCTTATCCTCAGCTGGCAGCAAATCGACCTGATTCCACTCCTCGGGGTCGAAAGAGAATGCAAAAGCGGTTCTTGTAGAGTTTGAGCTTGTGCGGGTGTATTTCTTCGTTAATGTCTTTTAGCATCTTTAGAATGTCGGCCTCGCTAATGTCCTCGGGGGTTACCATTTCTTTTTCTTCTATACATGTTGTGGTCGGGATCGCTTCTGTAGTGCTGTTTTGGTCCGTGGTTCGTGATGTTTCAGCGGACTGTGCTTCTTTGCTCTCATCTGGTTTTGTCTGGTCTTGTTCCTCCTGTTCATTCTGTTCATCTTCCATGGTTTTTGAGGCTTGCATTTGCTTTCTTCTGACCGCTTCTTTCCTCGCCTTCTCTCTCGCTTCGATTACTGTATTTGTGTCTGCCAGGTCCTTTTGCAGTTGTATGTTTTTTTTTTGTTGGCTTGGGTTAGCTTTGCTTCTACTTCAGCGAGTGATTCTTTTATATTTGTGATTTCTGCCAGGCTGGTTTTCGGCACTTTCTTCCTTCTGCTTCTTAAGTTCGTTCAGGACTGCTAAGAGGTCACACTTGAATTTCCCCATGTCGGCGATTTCGATCTTAAAACGTTTCTGGGTTTCGAAAGATTCTTGCAACATTCTTCTAATCTCGATGTTTTCGTCTCTGTCTCGATCTTGCTTAGTTTTGATGGCAGCATTTTCCTCCCGTAGGGCCTCAATCTCTCTTTTTAGGGCAGAGATCTCGTCCTGGACTTTGTTCGCCTCTGTGTTGTCCCGCGGTCTTGAAACCTGAAAGCTCTGTCTTTCCCCTGGGCGGGAGTAGTGTCTAGTGGTGGTAGCTGTCAGTGATCTCCTGCAGTCCTTGAGGTATGGACATCCCTGGTACCTCACGCTGTGGGTGCCTGAACAATTTGAGCACCTTCTGTTTGTGTTAGGTTTTTTGAAGTCAGAGTCCTTCTTTGCTAGGCTGCACTCCTTGAAGTTGTGCGGGCCGGCACAGTACCGGCACAATGGGCTGCTGCGGCAGGTCGCAGCGGTGTGCCACGCCCTGTTGATGTCGCTGCTGTGGGCTCCAGGCTGCTGCCTTCGTATGCGGGTACTATAGGTCCCTGCGCCTTGACTGGGGTGGCTTTAGGTGGTGGCTCCACGATAGGGGAGGCTTCAGGTGCTGGCTCCTCGATAGGGGAGGCTTCTGGTGCTGGCGCCACAATGGGGACGGCTTCAGTTGCTGGCTCTCTCGATAGATAGGAGGCTTCTGTGATGCTTAGACGTGCGGCAATGTTGCTGTGCGCATCTTCTTTGGTTTAGGTGCTGCTGCTTTTTTTTTTCCCGTGATGGAAAAATTGCTGTTTCAGTGGCAGTCTATACCGAAAGCTAGGTCCCTACGGAGTCGGCAAGGCTTGTTTGAGTGTTCTGAAAAGAACACCAAGCGTGCTTTCTCCACAGTTCTCTAGACAATCGTTCTACAAATTGATGCTACAACTGGCTGTGTCTTCAACAATGGTGTGTTCACGGGCTGCTAATAACCCAAACGCAGACGACCCCGATAGCGTAGTCGAGACAAACTCAGCCAAATATCAAGCAAGTATGTCCAGTATCTAGCTATCGATAATCAGGCTATGAGTGGGTAGTTAGCTGGCGACGAGTCGAGACACAAGTGGCTGATCGGACGGTTGAGTCATCGAGTGTGTGAGTGCTATTCCCTCCCCCCCCGCCACAAATAAATGTGGTCCCAGACCCAATCGGGGACATCTTTGACACTATAATTGCAGTAAGTAATATAGTAGGGGGCCTTTTTCTCATGACAGCGTTAAGGTGTATGGGACTAGTCTCATACTTGTAAACTGATTTATGCTAATTGGTTATTTGATTTTAGTTATTACCACAACAGCTGCCAATTGCTTTCCTGAAAATGTAAAAAGTAAAATAAAGTAAAGCACCCTTTAAGTCATGTAGTTCTAGACCTATATTTTCAGACCAGCCTGCACTCTGTGGGTGATGTGCTTTATGCTGAATCAACCTTCAAACCCAGATTGAAAAGAGAAAAAAAAAAAAAAGAAAGAAATATCCCCACCTTAAAAATGGTTCTAGTCACTGATTACAGAACTTGCAGACATTGTGTTGTAGCCATTGCATTATCTTGGCTCCCTTAGATTGCTAGTTTGTAACCTAAAAGGATAGTCAGCATCTATTATTGTTCTTTAGGATCTTCATCACAAAGTGATTAAACAGTCTGATTTATGTTCTGAAAGTTGTGGGGTTGATTTTCGACTTCATCATTTGATTCACAGCTGCCTTTAGACCCCATCATGTGATTCATGTGCTTTTAAACTCCATCATTTGATTCAAAGGTGCTTTTCGGTTCCATCATTTGATTCACATGCTTTTAGACTCCTTCAGTAAGATTTAAATGTCTGCTTTTGTTCTCCATCATGTGATTCACAAGTGCTTCTGGACTCCATCGTTTGATTACTTGTATCACATGAAACGGAAGGTTTTTTTTTATTCCATCATTTTATTCAAAAATGATTTTGGCTTCTATCACATGAAACAGAAGGGCTTTTGTATTCTATCATTTGATTCACAAAAGCTTTTGAGCTCCATCATTTGATTCTTAAGTGCCTTTGAACTTCATCATTTGATTCATAAATGCTTTTGTTCCACCATTTAATTCACAAGTGCAAGTGGTTTAATGTATTTTTAGGGATTGTCTCTGCAGCATAAAGTATGTTGTCCTTTGTGTCATGTTTTTGGCTGGTGAGAAGCTGTTCTGCGAATTGAGACCAAGTCATACACAATAAAATTCAGTGCATTGAAACTGATTGTCTTCCTTTTGACGACTTTTGAAAACTCTTTCAGTCCCAGCCAGCTCGAACCTTAGTTACAGAATGTGAGTTCCAAATGATAGATTAACTCTTTTAAAGTTTGAACACTAAGACAGCTGCTGTAAATATATGTGCTTTTTTCCCCACTCTCTCCACTATCTGGTTATCCCATTCACTTTCTTTTACAAGACAGAGTCACCTTTCCTTTTTGACTCTGTTGAGTTGAGTTGAATATCAAGAAGTGACATCAAAGCATTCAGGATATTCCCATTAGTGCTGATAAAATGTTGGGAACAGTGCATCAATGTTGGTGGAAATTATGTTGAAAAATAAAGGAACAGTATGTGTAAAAATAAATGGTTTTCAAGTTGTCATCGTCTTATTTTTTTAAACAACCATTTGTGACTTACTTATTGACTTCCCCTCATATTTCTTATATATATATATATATATATATATGCAGGTGTGCAAGGTAACTAGCAGGCTGACAGATTAGCTGATGCTGTTCCTGTGGACATTGAGCTATTGTATGATAGTGAACCTGGTGAAGGCTGTGTGGGATAAAGTGGACTGCCAAAAAAAAGAGAGAGAGAAAAAGAGGAAATCCATACACTCAAAGACTAATTCAACTGGGTGTGTGAAGGTTCTGAAGGATATTTAACATTGAAAGGAAACAAACTTTTAATTATTTTGCATCTGGTACTTTTAGCATGTCAACTCTTTCTCTGTTACTAACGAGGGGGACAGAGCACGTGTGGAAAGGTCCCAAGTGCAGTGGTGTCAGTTTTAATTCATTCATTCATCTTTTTTTTTTTCTCCTCCAGTTGAAGAAACTGCTCCAGAGGAATATGTATGTTCAACTGTGAATAGAAATGAGACTGAGAATGTAAGTTGCATATCTTTAACACATATTATATTTTTTTAAAATACAGACTCATGAAGAGGAAGTCTTGCATGCTGAGATAAATAATGAAAAGGGTAATCTTTTAAAAAAAAAAACCATATGTGGCATGTATTAGATGCTTCCAGTTTGAGGTATAATAATTGAGTTGAAAAAAAAAAAAGAGGTTTTGATTGAAATACCAGTATTTGTAGCCAGTATCTCCATGTGTTCTTGGGGCCAGTTCATGGAGCCAGTTGTATCTCCAAGTCTGTGGTATGGGACCAATATTTGGAGCCAATGCCTCTAAATGTTTGTTATAAGAAACCAATCTATGGAGTATATGCAAATGATTGTGATAGAAGACACAACATCTAGAGTATCTCAAGATGTCTGTGATAAAAGGCATAGATGTCAGCCTTGTTAAAAACAGCTCATCAGATGGTTTGGTCATGTGACAGTGCCCTATAAAGATCTTCAATACTTTGACATGATGAAAAGAGCAGGACATAATCTGAAGAAAGATGTGAAATATCTGAAGCTGTAAAATCCACATCAAGTGTCTCTTCCTAAACTGTCAGTAAAAGGCAGTATATGGAGAAAGGAAGAAGAAGAGGAAGTTTATACGGAGAAGAAGTCTCCATTTAAATTTGAATAGCGCAGATAGTAAATTTCTTTTACATAAGTTTTTTTTTAAATATTTTTTTTGTTAGCTTCTTTTTTTTTAATCCATGAGGAACAGCTGACCTAAACGGTTAAGTACACTGAACTGTCAAGGGGGGAGGCCCTGGTTCAAATTCTCTGTAAGGCTATGGGATTATTTTTTTCTGTGTGGAAAAGGGGCAAGGGATAGAATTTTAACCTTCGGAGTTTATGGCAGCATCAGTGGCCATGTAGTACTAAATGCTCAAAGACCCTCTGCTTACACTGCATAAGTAGTCAATATGAGCAATAATGGCATTTGTTGTTTTTTTTTTTTTTTCAATCCTTGAGGCCCACAGTAACTCTGGTGGCCATGGCTCAGGGGACGCTCTCAAAAACCTCAGCAATAATGCCAACAGATCAAGTATAGCAAGTGTTATGAGGGAATATTTTGACGATTCTGATGCAGAAACTCCACTTTCTTCTGAGAGTGAAGCTCTGAGAATACCTGAAGATTGCTTCCCCAAATTCATGTCTAACAGGTAGGCTTTCTTTGCATTTTGAATGTGTTTCTATGTACATTGCATGATGCTTTTAGAGGTATTTAATTCTCTGTATGGGTTCCTTGGTCCCATCTTTGAAGGAAAGATAGAAAAGAGCACCCCACATGCATGTCATAAAAAGCAACTAATTAGGGAGTTTGCTTAAATCAGGCCAAAATGTGCGGATATTGCAGACTAACTGTTAACTGCAACACAACATGCCAATATTTCTTTTAATGGTAAATGCAGAAGAAGAAGATGCTTAGTATTTACTGTTGTTGAAAGGAGGAGGAAGAACTCGGATTTTGTGGAATGAAACAGCACCTGAGTAAGCATTTCTGATGATTGATTCGGTATAGGCCTCTCATTGTGTGAACAATAAATAATGCACTATTTAAAGAGAATTAGTTCTCTCACACTTGCATAAGAGGTAAGAAAGAAGAAAAGCTCCTAGCATTTTTATGAATTAACACATTAAAGATATCACATTAACCCTTTTTCCCGGTGACCTAGAAAAAAAAAATAACGTCAGTGACTGTATTTCAGGAATGCCCGAAAAAATCATTTAAAAAAGCTATTTTACTCAGGTCACAAACAGAATATTCATACAGTTCCATTTAGGGACTGAAACAATATTAATTTCAATACAGAATAAGAAGAGTAATCATTAAACATGAAAGTAGCAGAGACTTGCCTAACCACCTCTGTTTGATTTTTTAAAAATGTATACGCTGAATTATGTCTGACCCCTAACCCGGTTGCCAGGTAACCACTGGTGATTTTCAAAAATTCTGATATCAAAATATATTTTTTTTTTTTAAATCATTTGTTCACTATTGATTCATCATCTCTTTGTTCACTATTGATTCCATCATCTCTCTGGAACAAATGCTGATTATAATTTGCTCCAGCTGTTTGTCTATGATGTTTTTTTTTGACTTATTTGGTGGGGGGGGAAGCCTTAGACAGTCAGCTCATTTATATTGTAAACCCCCTGTCATATATAAGGACCTACAAAACCCAGTGTCTGTCAACTTATTTATATGTCTACATAATTCCTGGCAATGCCAACTCATTTAGGTATCTATCTACAGAATGCTACAGTGTCTGTAAACTTAATTATATATGTCTACATAATTCCTGGCATGCCAACTTTTTGTATCTATCTTCAAAATGCCTTACAGTGTCTGTCAACTTATTTTATTTGAAGTGCCAACAAATAGTATGATCTTATAAGTGTCTGTCAACTTATTGAGGTCAGACTTTATAACTCATTTGTATTGTCTAAGATGTCTTTTAGTGTCTGACTTATTTGTGTTGTTCATATAATGCCTTGCACTGTTGGCAGACTCATCTGTGTTGTCTACAGAATGCCTTAGACAGTCAGCTCATTGATATTGTAAACCTAATGTCTTTCATTGTCTGCCAAGTCATTTAGGTATCTATCTACAAAATGCCTTACAGTGTCTGTCAACTTATTTATATGTCTACATAATTCCTGGCAATGCCAACTCATTTAGGTATCGTTCTACTGGCAAAAATGCCTCTACAGTGCCTTACAGTGTCTGTCAACTTATCTATGTGTCTACATAATTCCTGGCAATGCCAGTGTCTGTCGACTTATTTATGTGTCTACATAATTCCTGGCAATGCCAACTCATTTAGGTATCTATCTACTACAAAATGCCTTACAGTGTCTGTCAACTTACAGTGTCTGTTATGTGTCTACATAATTCCTGGCAATGCCAACTCATTTAGGTATCTATCTACAAAATGCCTTACAGTGTCTGTCAACTTATTTATGTGTCTACATAATTCCTGGCAATGCCAACTCATTTAGGTATCGTTCTACAAAATGCCTTACAGTGTCTGTCAACTTATCTATGTGTCTACATAATTCCTGGCAATGCCAACTCATTTAGGTATCTATCTACAAAATGCCTTACAGTGTCTGTCAACTTATTTATGTGTCTACATAATTCCTGGCAATGCCAACTCATTTAGGTATCTATCTACAAAATGCCTTACAGTGTCTGTCAACTTATTTATATGTCTACATAATTCCTGGCAATGCCAACTCATTTAGGTATCTATCTACAAAATGCCTTACAGTGTCTGTCAACTTATTTATGTGTCTACATAATTCCTGGCAATGCCAACTCATTTAGGTATCTATCTACAGAATGCCTTACAGTGTCTGTCAACTTATTTATATGTCTACATAATTCCTGGCAATGCCAACTCATTTAGGTATCTATCTACAAAATGCCTTACAGTGTCTGTCAACTTATTTATATGTCTACATAATTCCTGGCAATGCCAACTCATTTAGGTATCTATCTACAAAATGTCTTACAGTGTCTGTCAACTTATTTATATGTCTACATAATTCCTGCAATGCAATACCTTACAGTGTCTGTCAACTTATTTATAACTCATTTATGTCTGTCAGCATAATGCCAGGCTATCTGTCTTATTTATATGTCTACATAATTCCTGGCAATGCCAACTCATTTATGTTGTCAGCATAATGCCAGGCAGTGTCAGGTTGTTTATAATGTCCATCTATAGAATACCATAGACTGTCTGTCAACAACAGGGATGTATACTGTCACCCTAATTATTCAATTTTTACAGTGAAATAATAATTAGATACATACATGGTATACCAGGAGTAAGGGTTGGTAGGCATATTGTTTACAACCTGCGATATGCTGACGATATAGTTTTGATCGCTGAAAAGGAAACACAGCTGCAAGAAATGATGGATATAATTGTAACAGAAAGTGAAAACAGGAGTCTTAGTTTGGAACAGCAGAAAAATTGAAGTAATGGTAATTACAAAGAAAACTGACCCTCTAAAATGCAGCATCAAAGTAAATGGGACAAACCTCAAGCAGGTTGATATGTTTTAAGTTCTTGGGTACCCTGATAACATCAGATAGAAAATGTTTTGAGGAATACCCTGGAGAGATAAAAAGAGTAATGAAGTCCTCTTAAAAGAAACTGACTCATGAAGAGAACTGATTGCCCACATCAGAAAGTTACAAATTACATTCTTTGGTCATGTGATGAGAAGGAGAAAACTGGTGTACATCGTGATGGTAGAACAGTTGGTTGGAGGGGCATAGGGAGACCGAGAGAACAGATGCTGGACAGTCTGAGATCATGGCATAGAGATCATCTGTGTCAGAGGTGATTGAAAGTACACGAGACAGAAGGTTGTGGATAGACATGACTACCAACACCACACAGTATGGGCTTTAGGAAGAAGAAGTTTGTCAACTTGTTTATGGCATCCACAAAATGGCTAAAATTTTCTGTCAACCTAATAATTATGTCCACAGAAATCCTTTCAGTGTCTGTAAATTCATTTATGTTGTCCACAGAATGCCTTGCCTTAATGCATTTGACAACACAAAGTATGGCAAACAATGGATGGTGCTTAGAAGTAAAGCAAACAAAATTGTCAACCACAAAATTTTTGAGATTTTTATAACAGTCATTATAATTGCCAGCAGTGTTGAACTTGTAAGTTAAAACTTATAATCATCTTTATGTAAATGTGTTTTTTTTTTTTTTCAGCTTTGCAAGTCCTAAACAGTTAGACTGAAACTTTTGTCCTCCTTTCTGTAGGTAACAGATTGGATGATATTATCAAAGGAGAGAAGACTGTAATAGGCCTGTTCTAATTCAGAATAACTGGAGAGCAGTTTTTTTCTAGACAAGTGTTATCAAGAACTATGCATGGTTGTCATAAAATCTTTAACATACTAAACATTATTAAAATCTTCAAATTTGCTAGCGTTTAGTTTTTTTTTTTTTTTTTTTTTAAGTGAGCAGTCTTGTGGTGACATCAGTATACAGTTTGAAATTAAAAAAAAATTAACCTGAATATATTGCTCATGTAGGGGGAGGGGGGGGTGTTTTAAGAGGTTCTTGATTTAACCAACAATGTTTGGGTCTGAGGAGTTAAAATAAGAACACTCTGAAACAAAGTTAAAGTAAAAATTAAGTCAGTGGGTTAGTATAAAGCATGTCATAAGGGGAAGGTAATTAGAGGTTTGCAGAAATAGAAAATAGGGGCAACTGCAGTTGAGCTGATAATTTTGTTTAAAATTATGATCAGTTTCATTTATATGCCAGGGCATACAGGCATGCAAGGAAATAAGCAAGTTAATGGGCTTGCAGGTGGGACTGCTGTAAAGGGCAGGGGAGCCGTAGACTAGGCTGAGGCACTGAATGCATTAGGAGAAGGAAGGTGTTTACAAGAACCAAGTAACTGAATCTGCAGCCATGACTGCAAGAGCAGCAAGTTAAAAGGGGTGTGGCCTGGCAAGCGCACTCTGCAGGATGCCAAAAAAGAATGAGAATCCAACACAGAATTGGTGCAAGATTAACTGAGGGGGGAATCTGAGCACATATGGACTAAATGGTTTAATGTGCAATAAAGATAATCTAACGAGATAAATATCAGAAAGGATTTAACTAAACACAAGCCATGACCACGGACCTTGGTGAAGCAGAACAAGACTAGTAATATATTTTTTTAAATAAAAGATTATTGAGGTCTGTGGCATAGGCGTTGTTAACACTGTTTTAAACTCTGAGATACCCGGTTCAATTCCAGCTGTGGGCAGTAAATTTTGCTGTATTTGTTTTCTTTAATTTTAATGCTTTGTTACATTTTATCGGAGCATGCAGAAGAAATCTGATATTTCAGTGACCTCTTTGAAATTGATGCATAAAGAATTATTTTTCACTTGTTTCAGTCTCTAATTTTTTCATAACAGATGCTCCCTGTGTGGGTTCCGGGGGCCTGTTGTATGGAAAACAAGAATAGACCCACTGCCTACACAAAAGCATGTTGTAAGAGTGGACTAATTGGGAGCTTCCTTCAAAGTCGGAGTGCATCTGCCTGAGAGGCAAGGAACCAGCAGTCTGCATACAGATGAGTCAGATCTGTAAAACGCAAGCACACGCAACACTCATGTTCTCGAACAGGACTGTAGTCAAAAAGTGAATTAACAACCAGAACTTTCTGCCAGAGTTTACAGCTGGTAAACACAAAAAAGAAGAAGAATAACAGATACTCATGAGAAAGTAATAAAAAATTATAAGTGCATTGTATTTAAAAGGTCAGGTGCATAGTGGAATATGCCAGTAGGGAAGCCAGGTTTCTGTAGTTTTTTCTGTCCAAATGTAAAAAGAAAAAGAACTTATTACACAGTGTTTGGGATTAAAAGAGAAGAGCCAATAGCTCATCACGTATTGCATGTGATTGGAACAGTTAAGACAATTCCTGCAATATTTAGCTTTGATTCTGTTGATTTTTCCTTGTATTTTCTAGGCTTTTGAAGACATTTACCTGTTTGAAAAACCCCAGTTTGAATATTTTCTGAGAATGGCGAACATTGTGTTTACTGTCCTCTTCATACTTGAGATGTTGATACAGTGGATTGGTGTTGGTTTTGTTGCATACTTCACAAATTTGTGGACTATCCTGGACTTCTGGATTGTGCTGGTAAGTTGTTTGCTGTGTTTCACTTGTATTCTAGGTTTTGACATAGTTGTTCAGTACTGTTTGAGGATGACATTTTCACATAACACTTCTTCTTCTTTCTTTTGTCAAAATCTGCTTGTGTCGCTAGGCGTCGCAGTCTATCAGATGATCGGCAACCGAGCCAGGGCGCGCTCAGTCGCTTCATATGCCGTGATGTTATGAAGTCTCAAGTTGTCCGTGACTCCTTCAATCCATCTTCTTCTTGGTCTTCCCCTGCCTTCTAATCTCGTATATTGTTTCTAGAGCAGATTTTTGTGAACTCTTAAATCCACTGCCGATTTGCTTGACCTGACACAGATTCATCCTTAAGAGAACACTGGAAAACACGTAAATCACATCGAGAACACTGAAAAATCACATAACACTATTGAAGTATATTCAAATATTTGTTATAAGAGACCAACCTCTGGAGTATCTCTATATGTCTTTGATAAAAAGTAACATTATTTTATATCTTAATACTGTACATTATTTCATAACCTAATACAGTACATTATTTCATATCTTAATACTTTAAATTATTTCATATCCTAATACTGTACATTATTTCATACCTTAATACTGTACATTATTTCATATCTTAATACTTTACATTATTTCATATTCTAATACTTTACATTATTTCATATCCTAATACTGTACATTATTTCATATCCTAATACTGTACATTATTTCATATCCTAATACTGTACATTATTTCATATCTTAATACTGTACATGTAGGGTCTCGCGTAGTGTCAGACTCAAACTCATGGACAGTTTGTCTTGGAAAATATAATGTTGGCCACATGAATGAAAATGGGCAGAGAACTCTGGAATTCTGCACTAGAAGTGACTTGTGCATCACAAACTCCTTTTTCAAAACTAAAGACCGCCATAAGGTGTCATGGAAACATCCAAGATCTGGCCACTGGCACCAGCTGGACCTTATTCTCACAAGGAGGCAGCACTTGAACTGTGTATCACTAACTCGCAGCTACCACAGTGCTGACTGTGATACCAACCATTCCCTAATTGCTGCAAGAGTTCGGATGAAACCAAAGAGAATTTTCACTTCAAAAAGCAAATATATCCCTAGGTTAAATATTTCCAAAACTAAAAATAGCTTGAAGATGCTTTCACTGATATCCAGGATAACTCTACAGCAAGCCTAAGATGGGATGAAATTAGGGAGACTGTTTACAAAACAGCTGTCTCAGTCTACTGGATTAGAGAAAATAGAAGTAAGGACTGGTTTGAAGCAAATAGCCAGACACTCCAATCTTTAATTGACAGCAAAAAGGTAATACTCCTCAGAAACAAGGAAAGAACAACAAGGAACACTCTCATTGAATTAAGAGCAGCTGGAAATCATTTGCAAAAGGTAGCTAGGCAGTGTGCCAACAACTACTGGATCCCGCAGTGTGAAAGCATTCAAAATGCTAGCAGTGGTGGTAATGTTAGAGGCATGTATGAGGGAATCAAGAAGGCCATTGGTCCTACAATTTAAAAAAGTGCACCACTAAAGAATTTCAATGGGGAGATTATTAATGATGAAAAGAAGCAGCTAGATAGACGGGTGGAACATTATCTGGAGCTTTACTCAGTTGATACTAAACTAGCAGATGGTGCTCTCAATGCCATGGAGACGCTACCCACTCTTGACTATCTTGACATTTCCAACAGTTGTAGAAGTTGGGAATGCTATTGACAAATTGGCTTCAGGGAAAGCCCCAGGCAGAAATGGAATTCCTATTGAAATCATCAGGAGTGGGAAAGAAGTTCTAAAAACCACACATCCATCAGCTAATAACACTCTGCTGGCAAGAGGGAGAGGTTCCGCAAGATTGCAAAGATGCAAACATCATAACTATGTACAAGAACAAGGGTGATCGAAGTGACTGCAATAACTACAGGGGAATATCACTACTGTGTACTGTTGGAAAAGTGCTTGCGAGAATTGTTCTGCGAAGACTCCAGATCCTGAGGGATCGCGTTTACCCATAGTCCCAGTGTGGCTTTCGTGGGAACCAATCTACCACTGATATATTTTCATTGCGTCAGTTGCAGGAAAAATGCCCCGAACAAAATCAACCACTGTATGTTGCTTTTATTGATCTTACCAAGGCATTTGATTCAGTTAGTCGAAAAGGTCTGTTCAGTGCACTGAAGAAGATTGGGTGTCCACCTACTCTACTGAGTATTATTGAGTCATTCCACACAGGTGTGAAAGGTACAATAAACTTTGATGGTGAAACATGGAGTTTTTATTAAAAAAATGGAGTGAAGCAGGGGTGTTTACTTGCTCCTACCCTCTTTGAAATATACTTTTCACTTCTTTTGACACATGCCTTTGGAGATCAGGAAGGTGCTATTTTCATTCATTCTCGATCTGACGGCAGCCTTTACAATGCATGCAAGCTGAAGGCCAAAACCAGGATAAGAAAGGTACTTATCAGAGAGCTGCTGTTTGCAGATGATGCAGCAATAACCACCCACTCAGAGAAGGAGCTGCAATGTTTACTATCTGCCTTTGTTGATGCATGCTGTGAATTTGGACTAACAGTCAGCAAAAAGAAGACAAAGGTTATGGTGCAAGGTGTCAATGACAGACCTACAGTCTACATTGACGGTGAAGAGCTTGAGACAGTAGACCATTTTACCTATCTGGGTTCCACAGTGAATAGTAAACTATCGCTGGACCAAGAAATCAACATCAGGATAGGTAAGGCAGCAACAACAATGAGCAGATTGACAAAGAGAGTTTGGGAGAACAGAAATCTCACAATTAACAAAAACCCTTGTCTATCATGCTTGTGTTCTCAGCACTCTGCTTTATGGCAGTGAAACTTGGTCAGCCTATTTGCACCAAGAGAGACGGCTTAATAGCTTTCACATGCGATGCCCAAGAAGAATACTTGACATTAAGTGGCAGGACAAAATCACAAACACTGAGGTACTGGAAGGAGCAGGTACTACAACAGTCTTTTCCATGCTCAGTCTACGAAGGCTCAGGTGGCTGGGTCACACCTGGAGAATGGAGGATGGCAGAGTCCCTAAGGACATCCTTTATGGTGAATTAAAGACAGGAAGAAGATGTCGAGGCCGACCTCTATTACGTTATAAAGATGTATGCAAGCGGGACATGAATGATACAGGTATTGAGGCGGACTCATGGGAACAAAATGCCATGGACCGTGTTGTGTGGAAAGGGCATATCAGGAAGGGAATGAGACTGAAGGAAGAAATGATTGCAGAAAGGATGAGAGCTGAGCGACTAAAAAGAAACGGATTAAACACAAATGTTGTTAATAGTGGTCCTGAAATCCCATGCTATCATTGTGGAAGACTTTTCTTGACGTGGGCGAGTCTTGCTAGTCACACTCGCCATCGCCATGGGCTAAGAGTCCTATGCCTCCTCATAGCGCAATATAACACTGTAGTCTGGAAAGACGGAAAGGTGCCAATGAATGAATACTGTGCATTATTTCATGTCTTAATACTGTACTTTATTTCATGTCTTAATACTGTACATTATTTCATATCCCAATACTGTACTTAATTTCATATCTTAATACTGTAAATTATTTTATATCTTAATACAGTATATTTTTTCATATCCTAATGCTGTAAATTATTTCATGTCCTAATACTGTACATTATTTCATGTGTTATCGTTACTTACATATCCTTTACAGGACATATCTGAACCAACCCCAGCAGGTTTTTGGCTGTTGTGGTTATTTTAGGCAAATTTACCTTTAGTAGTTTGCCAATGCTTTCTGGACGGTCGGCTCTTGATACTACTGTAGACACCAATGCAAGGCTTGCAGCTGGGATCGAACCCAGCACCTTGGCATTTCAGAGCATGTTTGCAACACCGAAGCCACAGACACTGACTCATATGTTAATACAATACAGTATTTTATATCTTAATACTGTATACAATTTTATATGTTAATACAGTACATTATTCCAAATGTTAAAACAGTACCTTATTTCATATGTTAATACAGTACCTTATTTCATATGTTAATGCACTAACACGTCACCTAAGCCACAGACGCTGACTCATATGGTAATACAAAACAGTCATCCATATCTTAATACTGTACACAATTTCATATGTTAATACAGAACTTGATTTCATATGTTAATACAGTACATTATTCCAGATGTTAATACAGTACCTTATTTCATATGTTAATGCACCAACAGGTCACTTTTTTTTCCGTTCTTGGAGATTTTTTTTCCTTTGGTCATTTAACGGGATTCAGATCCTTGAGGACCTTACGCTCTCTCCGCCCTCTGAGAGCAATATCAAGATGGCAAGGGATGAGGGTAATAGTTTTATTTTTTTATTTTTTATTTTTTGTGTGTTTGTTTTTTTTTTTTTTTTAAAGTTTATTTTTCTTCTGCTTTCTGAGATTTTATTTTTAAACTTCCATAAAAGTAAATGACCTGGCTTATGCCTTTAGGTATATCAGGCATAAAGTGCTAGACCCATATTTTTAAATGATATTTCTATGAATGTGAAAGAACATCACAGCAGCTGCATTTGCTTCCCATTACATTTTCTGGTACTAATTTTAGGGTGTATTGACCTGGGAATCTCAGTCAATTATAAAAATTCTGGCCATGTGTAGATTTGAGAGCTTGAGTCAGCAGGTAAACATTCAGGCTTCTATATTTCTAGAAAAATATTTGATGTTCATTGATTTGTAATCAAGAATTTTATTCCCAGTGTGGTTCCTAGTCCAGTATTGTATTTTACCTGCTATTTAGCTCTTCATATATGTATATATATATATATATGTGTATATATATATATATATATATATATATATATATATATATATATATATATATATATATATATATATATATATATATATATATATATATATATATATATATATATATATATATACATACATGCATACATAAAAATGTATTGTTATATGTGTGTGTATATATAAATATATATGTGTAAGTAAGTGTGTATATATATACACACACACATTTATAATACCTATATAATATAAATATACATATATATTTACATACATATATATATATATTTATTCATTTATATATCCACATACACACCCACACAAACACACAGTTAAGCAAACTCTCTTGAGCCTCGCTAGAAACTTTGTAAGGAAGCAGACGTCTCTCTAGTTTTTACTTTGCATCCTTAATTCTGGCTTTAAAAATGATGATTGAAACTATTAGTTTACAGTTTGTGTATGTGCATCAAGGTTGCCAGAACCTGGAAACCTAAAATTTGAGAGGGGGGTGAGCACCCCAACCCCACCCCCCCCCCCCCCCCCTTTTTTTTTTATTGATGTATTTTATATTATTTTGAAATGTAATATTAAATTTTTATTGCCAGTCAGCACAGTCTCATAAGATCTCATCGGAGCCTAACAAGTGAAACTTCATGATGAGTAAAGCATACATTCATTATTTTTCTGGGGAGGGGGGGGGCGCATATAACTTAGATTATAAAACATACTATTTTGAATTTTAACATGGGGGTCAAATGTTTATCACAAAAATTGGATCACATCAAGCGTTATTCGGACACATGGTCACACATGATGTGTTGGTTGCGACTAAAAAGGTTAAATTATAAATACCCCCCCCCCCCACACACACACACACACACACACACACACACACACTCCCTCCTAATGTTTTCTCTCTGTCAGCACGGTGAAGAGTGGAGACAGTTTTCCTTCCCTTTTGTTAAATGTGTAGCACTCGGCTCTTCAGAAAAATCACATATTATATGTATTGATGGCTACATTATATGCAGAAGGTATTGGATGAATGTTTCGACAATAGTGACTGATTTCTGGGAAAGTAGTTTTATGAATGTAGAATTTAACAGCAATAAGATTATTTCTTTATGGTTTTTTTAAGTATTTGTTTGGATGTAAATTCTTCTTCTTCTTCTTTTTCTTCTTCCTCTTCTTCTTCTTTTTCTTCTTCTTCGTCTTCTCCTTCTTCTTCTTCTTCTTCTTTTTCTTCTTCTTCGTCTTCTCCTTCTTCTTCTTTTTCTTCTTCTTCATCTTCTCCTTCTTCTTCTTCTTCTTCTTCTTCTTCTTCTATTTTAGCATTCCAAGCCCTTGACGATCACTACTGCAGATATCACCAATTTTCATTCATCCCTGTATGTATGCATGCATGCATGTATGCATGCATGTATGCAGGTGTGTGGTATTTAAATGTATTTGAATCTATGTACTTACCATCCATCATCATTGTCCTGTTGTTCCCATGTATGTCACATAGGGGAGCTTGCAGTGTATTCCTTGATTCTGTTCTATCCTGTACAATGCCTTTGATATCATGGGTTTAATCCAATCCAGGACATTTGGCTTGTCTCATCAGTATTCATTTTAGCGTTTCTTTTTGGGATGTATTCGCTCAGGAGCCAGACTTTTTTTTTTCTTCTTCTTCGTCTTCTTCTCGTTCAACGGCAGTGAATTCCAGCCGAAGGTCCCAGTAGTTTGTCCATTTGGACTTTTGGCTTTTACCTGGACCTGAGTTTTGCATGTAAATCCATTTTACTGGCTTATTTGTTTGCCTTTCCCTGCCTCACCGGCAGATGTACTCCTGTCTTGAATGGGTACCAGGTACAGTAATGGAAAGTAAAGGCAGCCAGTGTGATCTTGACCACTTTACCAATTGAGTGCCAGTTGATCTACAAAATATAGGTCTAGCCCTATATGCCTATTATGCGTGAAGGTGAGGAAAATGGTCCTAAACAATACTTTTCCTTTACTTACTTATATTCTTAACCTTTTTAGCCCAAGACCATCCTTATTATTAATCCTCCACTCTCAGTGAGTGATTTAGATTTAAACTCTGGTCATTCTGAACACCTCAAACAACAACAGAATGCTCTGCTATATATTTGAGCCACAGTAATAAACCGTTTCAGAAGACAATTATGCAGACAAAAGGAAGTGGTCTTGAATCTGCATTTTGTCCTCATCAAACAGCGCAATGCCAGGCAGTAAATTGTGCAATCTTTTGTTTGTGTCTTTTTGTTGTTGTTTGTTTTGTTTAAATGATTTAGTGTTTGACTGAGGAAATTTGTTAATAAATTCTGTTCTACCTTAGACAGTTATTATGTTAACTCTTTCTAATTCAGCTAATTATTGTATAAAAATCACATTTCTTGAGACAAAATTTAAGAAAAGCATATGTTACATGGTGAAGCCAAGGTGTGTTCGGGTATACTGCCTGGTAGAGAAAGAGTTAATGATTTGTATAAAATGTTTTCAGATTGTCGTCAATGCTCTGATGAATGCAATCCCAGCCATTGGCAATGTGTTCTTGGTCTGCATGGTGTTCTGGCTGATATTCAGTATCATGGGTGTTCAGTTCTTCAAGGGAAAATTCTACAGATGCATGAATATCACAACGCTAGTTATGTTTGATTCCCATATAGTGCCCAACAGAAGTGCTTGTGTAACAAAAAATGGCTTGTGGCTGAATCCAAATGTGAACTTTGACAATGCAGCAATTGGTTTTCTTGCACTGTTTCAAGTGGTGAGTATCCTGCATACACTAACAGTAACAGTGTGCGACTCAGTGGATTAGTGAATGTGTTCCACAATTTTGCAGTTCTTGGCATACCAGGGTTCAGTTTCCATAGCGAGTTATTGTTGTTGTGTTTTTTTTTTTTGTGTGTTTCTTTAAAAACTGTTCTCATGGCTTGTGGACCGGGGTATTCCCCATTATGGGTTCTGGGACCCGCTGCACCCCTAACTAGCATGCCAAAGAAGGCGACTAATTACAGGTGTTTCCTTTGAAGTCAAGAGTGCATCTGCCCTGAGAGAAAAGGAACCAGCAGTCTGCCTACAGATAAACCAGATTTTTAAAACTCAAGTTCTTTAGCAAGACTATAATCCCAAAATGGACAAACAACCAGAACTTCCCGCCTGAGCTTACAGCTGTGAACACGAAGAAGAAGCAGGACCTTGGTTGCTAGTGTCATAGAGTCTCATGGTAGAAGAGTCTGGTGCCTCACGCCCCCAATATATTTCCAACAAGGACATAAGGTGCACAGCAGCCAGCCTTCATTGTGCAGATGGTACAGAGTAAATAGTCATGGTTTTTTTTTTTTTTAATCTCAACATGTTTTTGATTTTGTGTCTTAAATCATTTTTATGTAAATACTTTATGTTTAGATTTGACATGACTGAATTTTACTTTTTTTTTCTTCCCCCTCCTCCTCCTACTTCTATCTTCTTCTTTTTCTTCTTCTTTGTCTTTTTTTTTCTTTTGCTCCTCCTCCTCCTCTTTCTTTGCTGTTTACCCTTATATGGTTGGCACTTTGTATTGTGGTTTACAGCTAGGCTGCTATATCTGTGCCTTTCTGCCCAACACATCTGATTCCAGCAAACCCTTTGTTAGATGCTTTCACGACATGCTTGTTAAAGTGCAGCATTCTGTGTCTTTTTTATTATTTTTTGCTGGGAAAAAATGGTGTTTATGGAATATTCTACATGTCCATTGAGAACCTGCAAAGAGAATAAATTTGCTGAGAATTTAATGGAAAGAATAATAAAACAAGGATCAGTCTCCTCCTGATTGCTAGTTGTTTGACATTAGTGTTGGATACAGTAATTTATTTAGGGATAACTGAAGCTTAGTAGCAAACAGAAATTTCAGTGTTTACAAAGTATGCTCGCTTTTACTGTTAAATACAGGCCACTTTTGAGGGCTGGATGGAGGTTATTGATAGTGCAGTAGATGCTACAGAGGTAAATATGGACAATTTATATGCACTTGCACTATGTCTTTCAGATTTATATAATTGTGTGCTGTACAAGCATATGTGTATGTGCATTTTGCTTTATTTTAGTGTAAAAATCTGCAGTTTGCAACTGCAGCTTTATAAATGTTTACTTCTATTTCCTGGAGTAGTCAGTTGGTTGTGAGCCTTCTAGAAGTGTGTCTGAATCCTGACAAAAGCCTACATCTTATCTGTCCTAGTGATGTTGGTGCAGACTTTTGTCCTGACTCAGTCCCAAAGTATCGACTTCACAGGGACCGCTGAAAGTTCTCCCTCCTTTTGGAAGTCCAGAAAACAGTGGTTGTGTTAGACCACTCTCTATCTCACTCTGTGTGTGTGTGTATGTGTGGGCGTACACGTGCGCATGTCATTTGACCCCTCTGGAGATTAAACAATCTGAGTCTGGATGACAGACCAGCTGGGCAACACTGAGGTACCCCGTTTAGCCGACTGAAAAGTTACAAATAGGGCACCTGTAACCATTTTACCAGTCTGGTGAAGCCTGCAGTCCAGTTGAAGTAGAGGCATATTGTGTCAGACCTACACTGGAACTTTGTGTATGCATAAAGGCATATTATGATGAAAGTAGAACTTGATTCAGTGCAGCAACACTTAGAGTAGCTGGAATTAGGCCTAGATTAATGCTGCCTCTACAGGATGGTTTCTTCTTCTTGTACACCAGCTGTTTACTGCAGCGGAAACTCCTGGTTGTTTGACTACTTCTGGACTTTGGTCTTGTTCCAGAATTTGAGTTTTGCGTGCACATCTGTTTTACAAATCTAGCTTTTTTGTATACAGACTGTGAGAGATGAACTCTGACTTTGAAGAAAACACTCTAATTAGTCACCTCCTACAGTGAGCTGAAGGGGGGGGGGGGGGGGGGCACACAGTGCGTCTGTTCTTTGTTTTTCAAAATGGAGCTCCAGAATCCACAAGGAAGTGCTCCATTAGAGAAGGCACAAGAAGAAACCGCCTCATATTTGTGCATTCTATTAGCAAAGGATCATTTTTGGGCCCTCAGATCAGACCAGTTGGTTGTGAGTCATGTGGTCAGCAGTACACGGGCCACCTTTACTTCCCAGGACATTATCTAATACCAGTTTTAGTTTGAGTCGACCTGGAAGCATAAATCAGTTTAGAAAACAAAATGTGCCTTAATACGGATTCAAACCTTAGACATTCCGGGCAGCAGGCAAATGTACATTCCATTAGTGTTCCAACAGTATTAAAGAAAGATAAAACATATTGCCTCCCTTAAATAAATCACTAATGAATGTCTAGAAGTCTTACTTTTGCATTAACTTGTGTGTGCTGATAATTTTTGGTAGTAATTTTTTTTTTCCTTCAGTTTCTGTACCCTTTGCTGTTTAGCTGTATGTGACTTATTATATTTCCCAACACATGTAAGTGACCACTGTTTTATGGCTTTTCTTCTTCCAAACTGACAGGTGGATATGCAGCCAAAATATGAAGCAAGCATTTACTCATACATGTACTTTGTTGTTTTCATTATTTTTGGATCCTTCTTCTCCATGAACCTCTTCATTGGTGTTATCATTGACAACTTCAATGTTTTGAAAAAGAAGGTAAATGAAATTTTATATTTACAGGCTACTTTTCATAATCACTATTTGCAGCTGTATTTAATTATGCTTTTTTTTCCTAAATAAATGTGTGATATTGTGTAAGTTTTCTGTGACAGAGTATTAAAGAATTTGTTTTAAGTCATTAGCGCTTTGGGTAAGTGTTGCTAGAACCATATTTGTATAGACCAGTCAACACTCAGTGGATGATGTGATCAACATCAGACCTCCCAGAGTGGGGTCTGGGGTCCCCTTGAAGAGGAAAATAAGAATAGACCCATTGCCCCTAACAGGCATTTAGTAAAATTGACTAATTAGGTGTGTTTCCATCGGTCGGAGTACATCTGCCTGATATTCAAGGAACTGACAGTTTGCGCACCAATATACCAGATCTGTAAAGTGGATGTGTATGCAGAACTCAGTTTTGCACAAGACCAAAGTCCAGAAGTGGATGAACAACCAGAACTTTCCACAAGAATTTGCAGCTGGTAAATATGTAGAAAAAAAAGAACATCAGACCTACCACTTATTATTTTCGTTTCAATGTTGAATGAAGAATCGACATCACAACAGGCAGGACAGTCCCATAAGCACTCCATCCCCATCTTCAGCAGCCAGCAAAGAGTTCCAGTTCTGATGGCACCAGTAAATGTCTGGTTGTATATCGCTCACCTTTCCCTTTAATGGTGAGCGTCAGCCAGATCCCCTGGTAACTCCTCGCAGTGCCATTCTCCTCAGACCATAATGATCTGTTTGTGCCTCGGTACTGTTCACTGGCTCCCAGAGAGCCCTCACAACATTATTTTCCATTATATTGCCTCATCCCTATTTTGGACTGAGTTTACCTGGAAGTCATCAGGCAGTTATAGAAATATGCCAGATACAGGTTCCAAGCCAAGATATTTGGGGTAGCAGGCCACATCTAGCCCTTGAGCTGGCGTGGCTGGCTCACCAAAGTCAGTATCTCATGATGTCCTAGACTTTCATTTTATTAGTATTGTTTCTTGTTTTGCTTAACTTGCTATCTACACAGGCATTCACTGATTTCATTGCAGTATGAAGGAAGTTATCTGGATGCGTTTCTGACACAAAGTCAGAGAAGTTACTATAATACTCTGAAGAAACTTGGGAAAAAGAAGCCACAGAAATCTATCAAAAGGCCACAGGTTTGTGTAAAATATGTAATTAAAGCTAACACAATAAAATTGTTGCGCAGCCTGTTCCTTAAAGATGTAGGTAGTCACAAGATGTAATGTTAACAACTCTTGCAGTTGAACATTACAGTTAGTATATACTGTTCATAAAAGAAGCGCATAATTATTCGTGGCCTGTTTTTATTAGTTGATGGGGGAAAGCCCATACGCCTAAAAGTTATCAATGACTCAGATGCAGAATAACTGTCAGTTGATTGCATGAACCCTAAGGTGTTATTTTATGCAATAAGAACAATTTCAGTCATAAAATTACAAAGATTTTGAATGTCAGAATTATGACATTATATTCCTTTCAGCAGCTATTCATTCATTTGTCCTTTTTATCAGGAGCAGCGTTAGCACAGTCGATAAGAGGCTCGCTTTCAAATCCAGCTGCGACTTGCTGCAGCCCACGGTCGGTGTTCAAAATGGGCAGGTTTCCTGGGGTTCACCCAGCCTCTAGCAAATGGGTACCAGTGTTGACACTCTGAGCTAAATGGAGGAACGTTGCTGTAGCTACAAAGCTACGTGCGAATGGCGACACAGGCGGACAATTCTTATCAGCTGTCCGTACTGATAGCAAAGCACTTATGGTTTATAACCGTGTGCAAAGATGCTGATTCACATCTCCCGACTTTACCTTTGTTTTAGGTCCTTTTTATTTTATTTTGTTTTAATTCAAAATTAGGTAACTATGCCAGATATGATATTTCATCCAGAAGGCATGCAAGCTCTGAAGCAGGGACACAACTCTTTCAGTCTTATGCAAGTGCCCGTGTGTTTGTTGGAGTTGTCTAGCATACTGTGGGTTTCTGAGTTCCTTACACCTCATCTTGCTTTAACATAAACCAGTTCTGTACCAGTTGTTACTTCAGCTCATTTTGTTCTATAGTTTTGTTATTTGAACCTCCTCAATATCCAAACATAATTACTTTAAACAGCAAGTACTTGGCAAAAGAGATGTTCAAGAAACACACACGTCATCTGATTTTGTATTAATGTTCTTCCCTGTTTATGTTTGTTTTGCAGGTTTCTTTCTAGATGACCTCTTTGTTTTTCTTAGTGAGATGCCATCTTTGCTGCCCCCCTGCCGCAGTCAGTTGTAGAAACTCCAAGCAGTATTTACCTGTTTGGAATATCAACAAAGAAGACACAGTAGATGGCACAATTTATTGCCTGGCATATTTCTCTGTGTCTCATCCGGTGCATACAGTTAAGCAAATAAATGAATCTTTCTAACTGAGACACAAAATTGACTGCATTTGAAAGTAACTGCCTGTTTCACCATAGTAAATGCAGGTTCACAATTATTTCCTTTTGTCTGCATAATTCTGGATGGAACTGGTTTATTATCGTTGTTTTCATAAAGCGCAGAATTCTGCGGTTCTGTGCGGTCTACTCCAACTGTTCCATGTGAAATCCATACAAATGTGGAACCCCTCGGGTTGTGGAGAGAAAAGGCAACTTTAGAAATTTATGAAAGATGCATTAGAAAGAATCATAACCATCCTTATAGAAAGTTGGGAATACAAACAAAGAAAAAAGCACAAATTGGTTTTACACTGTGTACATGATTTACAGGACAGATACCACCTCCCAGAAAAACATCAGGGCATTCAGAATGTTGCAAGAAACTTACCACCTCATGCTCCCTTTAAAGCTCCAGAAGTCTAGTTGAAATTGATAGATGAAGAAACTAAACAGTCCGATCCAATCGCCCTTATGAAATCATCAGTAAAGGCCATTGATTCTTACCCCACCATGGATCTGCATTCCTAACATTAAGCAGCTCCACATAGTTATCTGATGAATTTATTGAAGAGATTTTTGATGCAGATTCTGCTCAAATTACGAGCTGTGCATCTGGAAACAGCAATATACCACCTAAAGACTGTCATGGATGTTTATCCTTCAAAGGACCAAAATATTGCTCTTCGAAGTCTGCTCTGAGGGCTTGAGTGAATGCTGCAGAACTGACATAGCCAAGATAATTCCTAATGCTGATCAACTCATTACCTTTTACAACATCAGAATAGTGATGCAGTGGATTCCAGGCCAATCCGGCACACTAGGTAATGACAGAGCTGACAGACTGGCAAAGAAAGGAGCAACACAAGAACATCCACCTTTAGCAACAACCTTACACTCAGCAAAAACACTTATAAAAGCTATAAACAAAGAGACCTAGCTGAACAGATATACCATGGTAGATACTGGAAGAGAGGTTTATAGACACATGGCTGGCCCTGATCCTAACGACAGCATTAACCATTTAACAAGAAGAAACCAGGCCACCATCTTCAGACTCAGAACACAACATACTCCATTCAATTGACACCTAAACAGAATACAGCCACAACACTCCCCAGAGTGCCAGCTATGTAACTACCCCTACGAAACTGTTGACCATCATCTCTTTGAGTGCCCAAAACTCAGCGAGACTAGATGAATGCTACTCCCTCCGAGACCAGACAAGTGGAACACCTTGTACAGAGGAAAAGAACAGCTTGTGAAAACGTGTAAATTCCACTACATCCCATTGAGCCATAGGGCGAAAGCTCAAGCGGCGCTGCATCGATAACAACAACAATCCGAAGATGTACATGCTTTGTACCACACTAATTGGGCTCCATAAGGCAAAATGCTGTCAGCATTGACAGTATAAAGAATAGAAAAGACTGTAAAAATAGTAATAACTGAAAAGTCAGTTTAAAAAAAAAAAAGGTATAAAATACTAAAGAAGACACTGGAAGAAGCTTTTTAAAGCCATTATTTAAAAAAAAAATCTGCATTTGAATGGCATTCTGTTGTAGCTTATGAACTGTGGAGAAACACACCACCTGAAAAGCGCTAAATGATGTGAGGGTGATGATTAATTGTGGAAATCAGTTGAATGAATTAGAAGGTTTTCATGATGTTAAAGTATCTGGCGAAACTGGTAGAATGCTGGGCTATTTTTAGGAGACCCAGAGTTTGGATCTTCTTTAGACGATTAAAATATTTCCTGGGGCCCCCAAAAAAAATAATCATTACAGTTTATGGTGACAGCACAAAGAATGTCCTAAATCCCCGAGCTCAAGAACCTCCTCTCTTACACACTGGTCTAATCCCAAGGTTCAAGAACATCCTCTCCTACACCACTGGTCTAATCTCAAGGTTCAAGAACCTCCTCTCCTACACCACTGGTCTAATCCCAAGGTTCAAGAACATCCTCTCCTACACCACTGGTCTAATCCCAAGGTTCAAGAACATCCTCTCCCACACCACTGGTTCAATACCAAGGTTCAAGAACATCCTCTCCTATGTCACTGGTCTAATACCCAAGCTCAAGAACTTTCTCTCCTACACCACTGGTCTAATCCCAAGGTTCAAGAACATCCTCTCCTACACCACTGGTCTAATCCCAAGGTTCAAGAACATCCTCTCCTACACCACTGGTCTAATCCCAAGGTTCAAGAACATCCTCTCCTACACCACTGGTCTAATCCCAAGGTTCAAGAACATCCTCTCCTACACCACTGGTCTAATCCCAAGGTTCAAGAACCTCCTTCCTACACCACTGGTCTAACCAAGGTTCCAGAACCTCCTCTCCTACACCCAGGTCAATCTCAAGGTTCAAGAACCTCCTCTCCTACACCACTGGTCTAATCCCAAGGTTCAAGAACCTCCTCTCCTACACCACTGGTCTAATCCCAAGGTTCAAGAACCTCCTCTCCTACACCACTGGTCTAATCCCAAGGTTCAAGAACATCCTCTCCTACACCACTGGTCTAATCTCAAGGTTCAAGAACCTCCTCTCCTACACCACTGGTCTAATCCCAAGGTTCAAGAACATCCTCTCCTACACTACTGATCCAATCCCCAAGCTCAAGAACTTCCTCCCCCACACCACTGGTTCAATACCCAAACTCAAGAACCTTCTCACCTATGTCACTGGTCTAATACCCAAGCTCAAGAACTTTCTATTCCCCACCACTGGTCCAGTCCCCAGGTTCAAGAACTTTCTATTCCACACCACTGGTCCAGTCCCCAGGTTCAAGAACTTTCTATTCCGCACCACTGGTCCAGTCACTAAGCTCAAGAACTTTCTATTCCACACCACTGGTCCAGTCCCCAGGCTCAAGAACTTTCTATTCCACACCACTGGTCCAGTCCCCAGGCTCAAGAACTTTCTATTCCACACCACTGGTCTAGTCCCCAGGCTCAAGAACTTTCTATTCCACACCACTGGTCCAGTCCCCAGGCTCAAGAACTTTCTATTCCACACCACTGGTCCAGTCCCCAGGTTCAAGAACTTTCTATTCCACACCACTGGTCCAGTCCCCAGGCTCAAGAACTTTCTATTCCACACCACTGGTCCAGTCCCCAGGTTCAAGAACTTTCTATTCCACACCACTGGTCCAGTCACTAAGCTCAAGAACTTTCTATTCCACACCACTGGTCCAATCCCCAGGTTCAAGAACTTTCTATTCCACACCACTGATCTTAATCATCAATCTCAAGAACTTCCTCTCCCACACCACTAATCCAATCCCCAAACTCAGGAACCTCATCTCCTGCACCACCGGTCCAGTCCCAAAACTCAAGAACCTCCTCTCCAACACCACTGGTCCAATTCCTGACCTCAAGAGCCTCCTGTCCTGCACCACTGGTCCAATCCCCAACTCAAGAACCTCCTCTCCTACACCACTAACCCAATCCCCAAACTCAGGAACATCCTCTCCTACACCACTGGTCTAATCTCTGACCTCAAGAACCTCCTCTCCTGTACCACTGGTCCAATCCCCAAACTCAAGAACCTCCTCTCCTACACCACTGGTCCAATCTCTGACCTCAAGAACCTTCTCTCCTGTACCACTGGTCCAATCCCCAAACACAGGAACCTCCTCTCCTACACCACCATGAAAAATGGTCAGTAACTGACATAACGGGTGGATTTTTTAAACCCTCCCAGTCCCACAGGATCCTAGCTTATCTCCAGGGGAGTTAAGAATGGCAGTTCTAAACCTGTACATATAAATTAAGAATGGCAGCTCTATGCTTGTGGGTATACTACTCCCAGAGGGGCCAAATATATAACAATTGCGGGAAAGAAATACGTTTTCAGAGTCCCTCACTAAATGTAAGATGTAGAAACATACATAATATGTTGACTGCTACATGTGAATAATACCTGGTCACATACAGAGTGTTGTTTAGGACCGAAGGAGTTTTTAAAAAAAAAAAAGAATATATTACACTGTTGTCTCTATTTTTTCCAATAAACATTTTTCAGAACAAGTTCCTCCTGTTTTTCTACAACTTATCCATGAGCAGCCACTTTGAAATGGGCATTATGGTGTTTATATTCCTCAACATGGTGGCATTGGCTGTGCACCATTATAAAGAACCGCAGTCAGTGAGTGATGTGCTCTTTATGATGGACATTATTTTCACCTTCATCTTTGGACTGGAAGTAGCTGTGAAATTAATTGGCCTGCAGTTGTACTACTTCCGGGTGACATGGAATATCTTTGATTTTAGTATCGTTGTTCTGTCAACTGTTGGTAAGTACACACTGTTTGCTAATCTCTCATTGACTTACACTAAGCATTATTTTGAGTTTTTTTCTTCAGAGGATTAAAATTATTGAGTAAAGCACCTCCCTGTATGGTGCCCAGGGCATCACAAAACAAAACTATTGAGTAAAGCACCTCCCTGTATGGTGCCCAGGGCATCACAAAACAAAATTATTGAGTAAAGCACCTCCCTGTATGGTGCCCAGGGCATCACAAAACAAAATTATTGAGTAAAGCACCTCCCTGTATGGTGCCCAGGGCATCACAAAACAAAATTATTGAGTCATATGCTGCCCCATCACCAAAATTATTGAGTAAGCCTGTTGGTGCCCAGGGCATCACAAAACAGATCATCCGCTGCCCCCTAAGCCTGTTGTAAAAGTGGACTAAATTAGGGTGTTTCTTTCAAAGTCGGAATGCATCTGCCGGAGAGATGGGGGACCAGCAGTGTATGCAAATAAACCATTTCTGTGAAAGGATGTGCACACTGAACTCAAGGTTCTGAAATAATACTAAAGTCCAGAAGTGGACGAACATCCAGAACTGTCTGCCCTACTGTACAGCTGGCAAAGATTAAAAAGAAGAAGACAGCACAAAATTTTAATGCGATTTTGTCACATGAGAGATTTTTTTTAAGTGATTATAAATAGGAGGCTCAACTTCACTGCTTTAGGTTTTATTTCATCTGGCTTGGTCTATCTCCCCAGAGCTGCTAGAATTGTTTTCATGAACACCATGGCTCCAGCAGTGATCCTCAGAGGTCTCTTAAAATAATTTCATTAAGGAATCGAATAGCAGTCACACACAAAAAACACCCCATTGCTTTTGCAACAAAGGACAAAGGGGTAGACAACTTTGTCATGGAGACCCAGCTGGATTCATTTTTTGTATTGGAGTTGTGGTACTTGGGATCCATGTTAGTGCAGTGGCTATATGCGCACATACACACTAGAGTGCTTTAAATGAAAAGCTTAAAAGTGATTGAAATTACAGTAACCATGCCACTGTCTTGTAACCTGTCAGTATTATTGTTAAGGATGCCAAGAGTGTTATGCACATGACCATGATGCAGACAGAGACAGTGACATCATTATGGCAGTTCAAAGATGGCCGCCCTGCTTTTGACTTGGAGCAGAAAGGCTGTTGTCCACATTTTATCAATAAAGAGGTGAAACCTATAGAACTTCATTGGCCAGTAAAGGACCAGTATTATTATGCATGCTTCTAGGTCCAGCAAGTGTAAGAGTGGAGTAGGGAGTTTCAGAATAGTGTAACTTCAATGACAGAGTGTCACCAGGTCAGACACATTGAGAATGAACAGTTTTCAAGCATGCTGAAACACAAAATTAAATGAAACTAAAATTAGAGGTTTCCACTACTCAGATTATATACTGAGCACAGTTTTTGATGATGAAGAGCTATTATTGGCAGACTTTTAAAAACCTAGTATTAACATCAAATCTACCCACTATCTGGAAATACAAGGCAAGCTGCAAGAAGCCATCAAGAATAACTTCCAGGCATGCTTTGTCACAGTGGGATTTGGTTGCATGATGCTGCTCAGCAGTTTGTTGCACAGTTTATGCAGAAAGATTGGCATGGAAGAAGTGGGAAATTCTGCCGCATCCATCTTTTTGTCCTAATCTGTCACCATTTGATTTTCAGTTGTTCAGACTTCTAAAAAAGCTTCCAAGGGGCAACAGTTTCACAAAGATGCACACATAATGAACATGGTAAACACTTTGTTCAATGAGAACCCAGTTCAATGAGAACCCAGTTCAATGAGAACCCAGTTCAATGAGAACCCAGTTCAATGAGCACCCACAATCTTTTTTTTTTTTTTTTTGGTGGAGGCCGTTCACTGCCTACCTAAGCAGTGTCATGCTTGCCTACAGTGACTTATCCTACTAATCCGTGGTGCATAATTAATTCAAAATGATTTTTTTTTTTTTTGGGGGGGGGGGGGGGGGGGGGGGGGGTGCTTAATTCTGCTACGACTATTGATGTTTCTTTTTTATAAGCAACAATTTGATAGTCGTCCCCATGTGGGATGCAATTTTTGGTTTGAAGCCCCACCCTGGCATCTGCCGGGGGCCCTGAATATAGCTGGGGCATAGATATAGCCTAGCCATAAATATGGCCTATCGGCTGAAAGGGCTTTCTAGGACCTCTCCACGGGTGATCCTCATCCGCATGGTGGCACTTTGTGTCACCGGGTGTTTATTGCTTGTGTGGTGTCCTGGTGGGGTAGAGATACCTACCTACCTCAAGTCATTGGAATGGGTTTCAAATGAACGCTGCTTATATTACTCCAGGTTTGTCTCAACCTGCCTCTTTTCTTCTTGCTGTGTGCCAAGCCTTTAGTACTGTTTTGGAAAGGTTTCTAGAATATATAGTTTTAATAAAGCATTTAAATATGAGAGGTTGAAACATCATTCCAGCGGGTGCAGTGCCAGGTGGCTGTGTCTTTTTCTGGGGAGAGATTTATTTTGTGTGAGTACGTGAAAGCGTGTGTGTGCATACAATTTTAAAAGACATTTCACATATGCTACTATTTTTTTAAGATTTCTTTATATTAACCTGAATTCTGCTTTCTTGTAGGTATAATGTCACAGTTTATTGCGAACAGAGCTGTTGGTGAGTATTGTGTTGTCTTTTACCTTACAGTGTGGTGTATAAAACTTGTGATATCAGTCATTCATCCATCAAATGAAAATATAGAACAGATGAGATCAAGAAAGAAACTCATCATCATCATCATCATGTAGCAGCTCCTTTGCACAACGTCGCTCTCATCACTATCTGCCTGAAAGAAACTCGGTCTCTCGCCAGTGCTCCTGCCTCATGCACTTTCACACTCAAGGAGTCACTTATATCCTGTGCCCATCTTCATGTCGGTCGGCCCCTGCCGTTCCTTCCTGGTACCATGCCTTCTGCTATAATTTTTTCCAATCCGTCGTGGCGATTGATATGACCAAAATATTTCAGCTTTCGAGAATGGATGCTGTTTATTAGCCAATCTTCCTTGATGTTCAGATCTTTTAAGATGTCAATATTTCTCATCTTCTGTGTCCAAGATATTCTGAGAATCATTCTATAGCATTTCAGCTCAAAAGCCCATATGCTCTTTCTCAAGGACTGAGAGATAGTCCACGACTCACATCTGTGTGTAGCCACAGGGAAGATGCATACTCTCAAAATTCTAATTTTGATCTACTTGCTGGTGCTTAACCATATACCTTACAGTGTGGTGTATAAAAACTTGTGACATCAATTGTTATATAGAACCACATGTGGTGGTCATTCATCCATCAAATGAAAATATAGATCAAATGAGACCAAAAAAGACACTACCTTTTCATAATATAAAGAGTTTCTTCTACAATCTGTGGCTTAGGTGTTGTGAACGCGCTTTGTAATGCCAGGGTGTCAGCTGCGGGCCCTGCGCCTCGCATTGGTTTCAACAGTGGTATCAAGAAGCCCACCATCCAAAAAAGCAGTGGCAAACTACTGGACGTAAATTTACCTAAGAAAACCACAACAGGCAAAAATATTGTGGCATTGGTTCTGCAATGTCCTGTAAAGGATACACAACTAATTTTTTTCTTTTACTGCAGAAATTTGTCATTAAATGGTTTCAAAAGATGTACAGATGTTACGTTTAACCCATTTTAAGCCATTCATTCTTTCATTGTTCTATTGTACCATTAAATGTCACATAGGGCTAGCAGTCTATTCCTCCATTCTGTCCTATCCTGTGCAATACTTTCAACATCATGGATGCAAATTATTCCACCACCATTTGCCTGTCTCTGCACCAGGGGGGGGGGGGGGGGGGGGGGACGTCCTCACTTCCTCCATCCTCACTTCCTCCATCCTTTTCATTTCCCATCTTAGTGCCTGCTTGGTGATTCCTTTTTTGTTTCTTTTCAAAATGTGTCCAGTATAGGGCCATCTTCTTCGTTGTCATATAACTGTTGATACCATTGGTTGCCGAGACATTTCTCTCCTTTCTTCCCCCTTCTTGTATTTATCCTATTTTATGTTTTACATTTTCCTTAGGTATTTGTAGACCCCCTGATGGCTCAGTCTAAAAATGGCTAGTGGCAATGTTCTGCAAAATAAGGGGGCGCGGAGCTTGATGTTTGCGACACTGTGCATTAAATGCTTTTAGGTCTATTAAAAAAAAAATGTGGAAATAACATTATTATTCTAATATGCACTGAGCATAAAATTATGCCTCTTTTTTCCTTTTCTTTTTTTTTTTTTTAAATGCATGCTCATGAATTTCTTTACACCTTTCTTTTCAACACTGAATTAAGAGAAAAAATGGTAAACCACCCTTTTCCTGAGAATTCTAAACTTGTATTGTTATAGATCATTTAGCATTTAATAGGTGATGTTGTCTACATAACTCAATCGACCTTTACTTCCCAAAACATTTCCTGGTACCTATTTTAAGTTAGTTTGACCAGGAAGCATGGCTGATTACATGCTTAAAAATTTATTTGACCAAAATGTATTTTACTATTTTATCCTTTTTTAATATACTTTTACGTTTATTTCAGGTAAAATGCTGAGCAACATTGCCAATTTTTTTACAGTCAAACCGACGTTCATCAGGATTCTACATATTTTTCGTATGGGCAGTGTTTTGCGTCTATTCAAAGGAGCCAAAGGCATTCGCAAACTTCTGTTTGCCCTAATTATCTCTTTACCAGCAATTTGCAATATTGGAGCATTGCTTTTCCTGATTATGTTCATGTATTCTATTCTTGGCATGTCTTCATTTGGCACAGTTAAACTAAATGGAGTTCTTAATGAAATTGTAAATTTTCAAACATTTGGGAATAGCTTTACACTGATGCTTCGTCTGGCAACATCGGCAGGCTGGAATGATGTTCTCGAAGGCTTGCTCATCAAAGAGCCCTTCTGTAATCCAAACTACTACACCCTGCCAAATGGCATATCTAAAGAATCCAGCAATGGAGACTGTGGTGTGTCGTACCTGGCAATACCTTTCATGGTCAGTTATATTATTATTGTATGGTTAATTGTTATAAACATGTACATTGCAGTGATTTTGGAAAACTTCAACCAGGCTCATGAGCAAGAGGAGGTTGGCATCACCGAAGATGATTTTGATATGTTTTACACCGTCTGGGAGAAATATGACCCTTTTGCTACACAGTTCATCAAGTATGACCAGCTGGCAGATTTTGTTGGGGACCTGGAGCCACCCCTGCTGATTCCAAAGCCGAATGAAATAGCACTGGTGACTTTCAATATTCCCATTATGGAAGGGGATAAAATTCATTGCTTGGACATTCTGGTGGCACTTGTGAGAAATGTCTTGTCAGATGTGCAGGAGTCAGACGAGTTGACCACCCTGAAAGAGGAGATGGAGGAAAAGTTTGCTCACCTGTTCCCTAAACGGTACAATGTCACTGTGAAGTCAAGTACAATGCAGAGAAAGAAAGAAGACGTGGCAGCCAGAACTCTTCAGAGGTCATGGAGGAGTTTTAAGGCCCAGAGAGCCATGAGAAACATCACTGCCCTTGCCGTACAGCAGAGGATTCGACGCATGAGCAACATCTGCATAAGATCTCGCACTGTTATCATGGATAATCTCAGTAACAGAATTAATCAAGCTCTTGCCCACTATTTCAGAATGCAAAGAGAAGGCTATGGTCTTTTTTTAGGAGAGTCACAAAACGCTGATGTTAGGAATGAAGAAAGTGTCAATCAGATTACCTCCAGTGGGAAAATATCGCAAATGTCTCAACAGAACAGTGAAGTCGTAATGATAGATTCCTTGCTGTGATGTCAGCGTTTTATTGTCAGTGATTGCAGGATTGTGAATCAGCAGCACAAGCTCTACTGAGACACTAAATAAACAATTTTGTTTCATATTCTCAGTTGAGTTGACTACAGTACTAGGCCCTAATCTCTTCCACAGTGGGATTCTCATACTAATATTCAAAAACTGGAGAATTTTAGTTTTTTTTAAATAAAACGCAGGCCGTGGAAACGAACCCCAAAAACCCTTGAAGATCTTGAAATCGTTAAAAGGCTTTACTAACCTCTAGGCCACAGAACAACCACTGGTACACCACTACCTGGTCATATCTACATATAGGGCACTACAGTCTGGCTAGTGTGTCTTGTAGATGTATTATCTCAGTTACCCAAGACTGTTTATTTGGTAAAATACATCCTTTTTTTTTTTTTAAATTTTCTCGATTTCTGTGATGTTTCGCGATAGAATGTGTCAGTCGTAATGCCTGACAAACTTTAAGAGAGTACTGAGGTCTCATCAGACTGTGTTATTAGCCAGAATGGTTCCTTTCACGTGTGGGATACATTGCAGGGTTGTCATAACAGCTGTTGCTGTTGCAGATGTGTTCTGAAATCCAGTGTTAAATTTTTCCTCCAATCAGCCGCAGATTAATTTGAATAACTTTAATCTTTTTTTTTTTGTCCTCCTGCTTATGCCATAAAGCATTGCAGAGAGGAGTTAGATGTAGTTTCCTGTCTTTTGCTTGTGCCTAGCTTGTGTTAACATCATGCTGCATTTCTTTAGTGTCTCTTTAACTCCCTCCACCCTTATCTCTCTTCATTGGCCTTTTGATTGTAGCTGCTGTTCTCATGTTAGTATACTCTACCTGCTGGCTGATTTTGTTCCATTCTGATCAGATGATCAGACCATTTTATTCTGTGATGTTCTGTGAAATAATTTATCGGTATTGTGCCTACCAGTCTTCTTAGTGCTTCATTGGTGACTGTTTCTTTTTGTGTGTTTTTCCTGCCCCATTTCTTACACATCTCATCTCACGTTTTAATTTTGCATTTATGTTTTTCTAGGACTGTGTCTGGCATTGATAGCACAATGTTGATATGATTAGTGCATTTATTAGCTGCTTTTTTGTGTCATTTTGAAAAAATAACTTTAAAAGGGCAAAATAAGTTCATCACTGGAGACAGAAAAAAATGTAGTTTTAACCAACAAACATGTTTCTGTACTTCAAGCAGAAGAAATGAGTCTTTGGATGTTACATTATGCTCATATGAATGTACAGCTGTGAATCTGAGACCATAATTATCAAGATTAGGAAGAAAATAACTGTATGGCTGGAAATCAAAGACTGTAATTACCAAGATCAGAGTGAAAACAACTGAATGGCTGGAAATCAAAGACTGTAATTACGAAGATTAGAGTGAAAACAACTGTATGGCTGGAAATCAAAGACTGTAATTACGAAGATTAGAGTGAAAACAACTGTATGGCTGGAAATCAAAGACTGTAATTACGAAGATTAGAGTGAAAACAACGGTATGTCTGGGCCATGATTATGAAGATTAGAGAGGAAACAACTTTATGCTGTAAATCATGGGCCATGATTACAAAGAGTAGAGAGAACACAACTATATGCTGTGAATCATGGGCCATGATTACAAAGAGTAGAGAGAACACAACTATATGCTGTGAATCATGGGCCATGATTACAAAGAGTAGAGAGAACACAACTATATGCTGTGAATCATGGGCCATGATTACTAAGATTGAAGAGAAAACGGCTGTATGCCTGTGAATCATAGGCCATGATTACCAAGATTAGAGAGAAAACAGCTGTATGCCTGTGAATCATGGGCCATGATTACTAAGATTGAAGAGAAAACGGCTGTATGCCTGTGAATCATAGGCCATGATTACCAAGATTAGAGAGAAAACAGCTGTATGCCTGTGAATCATGGGCCATGATTACCAAGATTAGAAAACTACTAGCTGCTGTTAAAGGACTTATCTGTAGAAGGCTGAGATTCCGAGAGCAACTAACAAAACCAGTGTCCAAATTTGACTGAAAGCAGATCTAGACATGATTACCCACATAAGTACATGTCATCATGTTTTATCTGGAATGAACACATAGAGACAAAAATTGCAGACAAAAAAAGTAATTCAGTTGAGGAGGACACAGGGGGACGCTGCACAAGATGCCAACAGGTAGGAAGGGTTGACATGCGTTGGTTGTGATCCTGTGTTTATTTGTGGGATGTGTTGAGTGGGGAAGATTTCAATGAGTTGTAAACAAATATTGACGAAGGAAGAAATGTTAGAAGGACTGACAGACTGACCTGGAAAATGAAAAGCTACTAAACACAGAACAATAGCTGGAAAGCTCAACAAAGGGAAAGTGAAAAGATACTCACAAAAATACGACAGAACATTTCCAGACTTTATGAGTCAACAGAATAACAGACCAGTCAGTAGTCAACCAGGAAATACATATATTCACTTGTTCACTACCAGAAGGTCTTCGAGGAACTTTGTTAGGAAGGAAATGGCTAATGTGAACAATCAGGAGCTGTTTTGCTTTGAAGCGAACAAATACACGTAGGAAATTACCAGTGGTAGAACCAGATTTCCTCAGTATTTTGTAACCAGATGTAAATGGTAAATTAATATATTTTGCGATGGATGTAATTTATTGGCATCAGCAGATGACACATCATGTATTTCCTGTTACTGACAGAGTTAAGAGAAAATATGAACAGGAGAAGCTGTTGTGAAACAAAGTGTAAAAATATGGACAGGAAAACACTTCTCTGAAATAGAGGGGACATTTTTTTTTAAATATATGCCATTTCTCTTTGCAATGGAAGATGATTGTCATAAACTTATCAGGATCTCTGAAAGCATGGCTGTGGTAGAACATAGTCCCCTGTATGGCCCAATAGCTGAGTTAAAAGGTGGCCTTTTTCATTGACTGTAAAAGTAACTATTTTTCAATTTTATCCACTTATTATAATGTTGTTTCTAGAATATCTGTTATATAGTAACACTAGGTGGCTGATAAATTGAATGTACATTATGTGCTGATGCAGTATCAGCTGTGATTGTTTGAAACATAATTATGAGGAATGTATGTATAGATGACCGCATCTCTTTGAGATTTGTGAGCAGATGTGTATAAGTTATGAGTTAAACATTTTTCACAGCACTCCAGACACATCCACATGTGCTCATTTTTCTCTATCAAAGTATATATCTACATCCTCTCACTTATATTGCCAGCCATTTGATGATTGATAGATCTCGTATGTCTAGGGCCTTTCATGCTGACTGCATTGATCTTTGCCCAAATGTTTATAAGAAAGTAATGTGATAGAATCTTGAAAGATTTCTACATTTTGTGTTCAGTTAACAAACCATATAGTTGAATATTGTTAAATATATATATATTTTTTTTTTTAAATTGACCTTGGCTTTCTGGTTGACCCAGTCTAAAATGAAGACCTGGAAATATCCTGGGAAGTAAAGGTGAGCAGAGTGATGTTGACCACATGACCCATTGAGTGCTGACTGGTCCATGAAAGTATGAGTAGCATCATTTGCCCACTATGCCACTGCCACTTCACTAGCTTTTCCTACAGACAGTGCCAAGTGATTTGATTTTGGTTGCCATGGCTGTCCACAGCTGTGTGTCAGGTGTACTGCCAATCATTTTCTACAGAAGTTCTTCATGCTGTGATGCCTGACTGTTGCCCTCAGACTTGAAAGGATACCTTCCGCCTTAGTTTACTTTCAGTGACCTATTGTTAGGGACATACGTACTTGTTTATCACCCCTCCCCCCTCCTGAAGATTTGGACCCTTTGAACCCACACATTTGGGAGCCCAGAGATGGCTGTATCTCTACAGAAATGGGACTGATCGGTTTGTGTCGGTTTCAGAACTTGACATCTTCAGTGTCCGTTTTATCCATCAAACTGTGTTCTTTTCATTTTTCTGTTGGTTCCTTGCCCCTTCATCTGTTGCCCTCAGATATGAAATCATACCTCCCTAATTAGCTTTCTTCAGTATATCATCATGCTTGTTAGGGAGGCAGTCCACATTATGCCCATCACAGCTCTGAAATCACCTTCCACATATATCAGGGACACCTCATCAGCTGGGATATATCTCCATCACCTCATCAGCTTCCACATATATCGTCACAACTCATCGCTTCCACATATATCATCACACCTCATCAGCTGTCCACATTTTATCCATCAAAACTCATCAGCTTCCACATTTTTATCATCACACCTCATCAGCTTCCACATATATCATCACACCTCATCAGCTTCCACATATATCATCACACCTCATCAGCTTCCACATATATCATCACACCTCATCAGCTTCCACATATATCATCACACCTTATCAGCTTCCACATATATCATCACACCTCATCAGCTTCCACATATATCATCACACCTCATCAGCTTCCACATATATCATCACAACTCATCAGCTTCCACATATATCATCACAACTCATCAGTTTCCACATATATCATCACAACTCATCAGCTTCCACATATATCATCACAACTCATCAGCTTCCACATATATCATCACACCTCATCAGTTTCCACATATATCATCACACCTCATCAGCTTCCACATAATTTCTCACTACGTGTAGTTAGTTGACTACCCATGATTTGTGTAGGTGAGCATGTTGCCATTTACATCTGTATCATCATAGCTCATGTGTGTGCAGCCTATATCATCATGTGCACCTGCTCGCATGCATACGTTTTTTATGTGTGTTTGACCAAATTATTACATATTATGTGCTTATAGACTTGGGAACAGTTGTAATCATCATGAATTCCACATATATCATCACCCTCATCAGATCATGTCAGGATATATCTTTGTCACCTCATTGCTTACTGCATTTTACAGTCACACCTTATCAGTCTTCCACAGGTATATCACATGAAAAATAAGCATCTCCACATATCATCATCACCACCTTGTATTAGAT